CTTTCACAACTCTCCACTCAGTCTACCTCTTCCAAGACTGAGTTGAAGTTCTTTCTCTAGTTTGGCCCTTTCCTTGGAATCTTACAAGATATCAATCTATTTTTTAATGTCTTATATAAAATTCAATCTCCACTAGACCATTGAGAGAAATACCAGGGAGCCAGCACACCTCAGGTCCTAGGGGAAGTCTTTCCAGCAAGGCTGTGACGCTCATCTTACACCAGCAGGTTCAGTCAAGGCAAATCACATAATGGAAGCCCTTTGGCTTCACCTTACTGGGCAGAGGGGATTCATTGATCTCCAGTCCCCTCAGGATTTCTACAGACAATTTAGGGTACTTCTTCAAAACAAACTTAATCTCAATCTAATTAATCCTTAGAGAGATGCAAATAAAGATTTAAAAAAAATCAGGGCAACACGAACAAACAAATGGATAGGTAGGTGGGTAGGTAGATAGATAGATAGAAGATAGATAGATAGATAGATAGATAGATAGATAGATAGATAGATAGATATTGAAGTAAATAGCACTCTGGGAAAGTGACTTTACTTTTACACTGCTGGAAGGGTTCTGAATCAAGTGCTTAAATAAGTGTACACTCTTCAACCTAGGTAATCCTACTTCTATGAAAATATCCTAAGGATATAATCAAAAGGTGCAGCCAAGCATTTGTGAACAGGGGTATTCACTGCAGAGGCATAACTGGGGAAGGATTAAGTGTCACTCACAAACCCTCCCACCCTTTATAAAGGAATGGGGCGTAGCAAGGATTTAAGTGTCTACCCTACATTGGGCATTTGGATGAACAAGACAGGTAAATCCCCAGTGCCCTGTAAGATGAAAGTCCTTAAAAATACAAGGTCTGGTAGAGAAACCTAAGTTTGCTCACATTATTTCTGGGGTCTTGGCACAGGTGACACTTGACACACGGAATCAAACTCAACCTCATCTTTCTGCCACGAAGTTACCAAGTCAAAAGAATTTCCACTCAGAGGGTCTTTGTGTGACCTCTCCCTTGCTTTCCAAAGCCTATCATAAGCCCCTGAAGTAACCTGACACCAGTGGGAAGACCAGGCCCCCCGAATAGTTTCTAGTCCAGGGAAGTTGCTTCACTACCTCTGGGGCTGTTTTTAATCAGACTCATGAAAGAAGGAATCAGCCTAATCTTTGAGGTCTTTTTTAGTCTTGTAACTTGGGGTCTGTGTGATTAACTATGTGTGAGTGGAGGAATCTTAAACCTCAGTTCAAGAGAGAGGTAGCTGAAACCCTTCAGAATCTGGCCACAAAAAGATAAAGAACAGAAGGGGAGACAAAGTGTGTGTGTGGGATGTGTGTGTGTGGTGTGTGTGCGCGCGCACGCACATGTGTGCATGCGTGCATGCCTGTGTGTGCACGCGTGCCTGTATGCATATGTGTGTGTGTGTCCTTTTCTCCATTTACACAGTTTAGGGTACTAGCTGTGGAATACCTAGCTGTGGGGTGGTCTTTCTGTACGCTGTGAATGTGTGTTGTCTTCATTGGTTAATAAGAAAAGCTGTATGAACAACAGCCAGACAGGATAAGGTTGGGTGGAATGATCAAACCGAGAACTCACATGAGAAAGGCAGAGTCAGGAGAGACGCCAGCCAGCCGCCCAAGCAGCAAGATGCCAGAGAACCAGAACTGGTAAGGCCACTGCCATGTGGCAATAAGTAGATTGATAGAAATGGGTTCATTTAAAACAGCTAGGACTGGAGAGATGGCTCAGAGGTTAAGAGCACTGACTACTCTTCCAGAGGTCCTGAGTTCAATTCCCAGCAACCACGTGGGTGGCTCACAGCCATCTATAATGAGATCTGGTGCCCAGGTATACATGCAGGCAGAACACTGTGTACATAATAATAAATAAGTAAACCTTAAAAGGGGCAGGGCTCAGTGGTTAGGAGAACTGACTTTTAACCAGACGACTCTGGTTCAATTCCCAGCACCCACATGAAAGCTCACAATTGTTTGTAGTTCCAGGGGATCTGGTATACAGACACATGGAGGCAAAACACAATGCACATAAATAAAAATAATTCTTTAAGCCGGGCATTGGTGGCACACACCTTTAATCCCAGCACTCGGGAGGCAGAGGTAGGTAGATCTCTGTGAGTTCAAGGCCAGCCTTGTCTACAGAGAAAGTTCCAGGGCAGCCTCCAAAACAATACAGAGAAACCCTGTCTGGAAAAACCAAAAAAATAAAAAAAGAAGTAGTTAGCAATAAGCCTCAGCTGTTTGGCCAAGCATTTTGCAATTAATATTAAGTCTCTGAGTGACTATTTAAAAGTGGCTGCAGGACAGGGAGGGACAGAGAACCCTCCCTTTACATAGAAGGCTATCTCCAGGTGGTTCCAGTTGACAATTAATACTAATTATCAAAAACTATAAAAATAAGTATGCATATTAAAAAGAACTGGATCGAGTTAGTTGCACACCTTTAATCCCAGCACTTGGTGGCAGATCTTTGTGAATTCCAGGTCAGCCTTGCCTACATAGTGAGTTCCAGTACAGCCAGGGCTACATAGAGGGAAGATCTTATCTAAAAAGAAAAAAAAAAAACTCCTCCCAAAACTAAACACAACCAATGTAAAACCAACAAACAAAAACATATTCATGGGGGCCAGTGAAACAGCCCAGTAGCTAAGTGATTGCCATACAAGTATGAAGATCAGGGTTTGAATCCCAGAATCAGGATTCTCTAGAGTTGATGGTAGAAAATGCATAAGAAGTGGATCAGATCGTGGAGCCGATTTCACACAGGCCTGACAACCTGACTGTAATTCCAAGATTCCAGAGATGGCAGGAGAGAACAGTGATTGTACAAGTGTACAGTTGAACCTGGATTAGAGATTTTTATTACATAGAAATTCTCAACTGTTTTGTTTTCTTCTTAATAGTAATTAATCGTACACATCAACTTAAATGGGCCAGGCTGCCCAGATAGTTGGCCAAACATTATTCCATCATGGTGAATATTGTTTTTGTCTTTCTGTGACAGGTTCTTGCTATGTAGCCCTGGCTGGTCTAGAACTCACACTGTAGACCAGGCCTCAAATTGAGAGAGATCTGCCTCTTCTAAGTGCTAGGATTAAAGCTGTATACCACCCCAAAGATGGCTCAGAGGTTAAGAGCACTGGCTACTCTTCCAGAGGTCCTGAGTTCAATTCCCAGCAACCACATGGTGACTCACTACCATCTACAATTCAATCTGGTGCCCTCTTCTGGTGACAAGCAAACATGCAGACAGAACACTGTATACATAATGAATAAATAAAATTAAAAAAAAAAAAAAAGAGCACTGGCTGTTCTTCCAGAGGTCCTGAGTTCAACTCCCAGCAACCACAAGGTGGCTCACAACCTCTCTATAATGAGATCTGGTGCCCTTGTCTGGTATGCAGGCAGAACAGTATACATAATAAATAAATTAATTTAAAAAAAAAAGGTGTAGCCGGGCAGTGGTGGCACATGCCTTTAATCCCAGCACTCGGGAGGCAGAGGCAGGCGGATCTCTGTGAGTTCGAGGCCGGACTGGACCAATAGCCTCCAAAATTATACAGAGAAACCCTGTCTTGTAAAACCAAAAAAAAAAAAGGTGTAAAGGTATAACCATACCCTGTTAACATTTTTATTTATTTATTTTGGTTGAGACAGGGTTTCTCTGGCTGTTGTGGAACTCACTCTGTAGACCAGGCTATCTGCAAACTGCCTGCCTCTGAGATTAAAGGGGTGTGCCATCACCGCCAGGCAAGATTAGTATTTCAAGGGTGAAAGTGTAGCTCAGTGGCAGAATGGCCATCTAGCATGTGAGAGGACTTACCCTCCCAAAAAGCTGGACTTAAGTTCAACATAGGTAGAGCTCACCTAATTAAGCTGAAGGCCTTAATACAGCAATTCCACAAAGAACCGTTTATTTCCACATGGGGTAAAGTTGAGCTCACTTTTCCCCCACCATTCCTGGATATCTTAAGGTTTCTATTGTTTCTATTGCTGTGAAGAGACACCATGACCACAGTAACTTTTTTTTCTTTTTTTCATGACAGGGTTTGTAACAGCCAGGCTGTCCTGAAACTTGCTTTGTAGACCAGGCTGGCCTTGTATTCAGAGATCTGCTTGCCACTGCCTCTTAAGTGCTGGGATTAAAGGCATTTGCTACCATGCCTCACTGACTATGGCAACCTTTTTTATTTTTTTTAAGACAGGGTTTCTCTGTATAAGAGCTCAGCTCTGGCTGTCCTGGAACTAGCTCTGTCTGTAGACCAGGCTGGTCACCTGTCTATGTCTCCCAAGTGGTGGGATTAAAGGCATTTGCTACCACTGCCTGGCAAGCATGGCAATTTTTATAAAGGAAAACATTCAATTGAAGCTGGTTTACAGTTACAGAGGTTTAGTCCATTATATTATTATTATTATTATTATTTTTTTTGTTTTGTTTTGTTTTTCGAGACAGGGTTTCTCTGTGGCTTTGGAGGCTGTCCTGGAACTCGCTCTGTAGACCAGGCTGGCCTCGAACTCACAAAGATCCTCCTGCCTCTGCCTCCCGAGTGCTGGGATTAAAGGCGTGCGCCACCAACGCCCGGCTGTAGTCCATTATTATTATGGTGTAGTCCATTATCATTATGGTGGTATGCTGGCAGACATGGTACTGGAATGGTAGGCCTAGAGTTCTATATCTTGATCTGAAGGCAACAGTAAGTGAACTGCGTCCCATGCTGGGTGCAGCTTGAGCATATGAGACCTCAAAGCCTGCCCTAATAGTGACATACTTCCTCCAACAAGACTGCATCTCCTAATGTGCCACTTCTTATAGGTCAAGCATTCAAAATTATGAGTCTATGGGGACCATACCTATTCAAACCACCACAATGGATAATCCTATGTTCAGCAGAATTTTACTTCCTTTTCTATATAATGATTTTAGTTTCATCTCTGTGTTTTATCTTGTGAAACTTTTAGTAAGATCCAATAATGAAACAAAACAAAGTATCAACCCCAGTTTTATTTGTAAAGAACAAAGCATGAAAAGTCATATTTAAATGTACTCCAAAACCTGAAAAATCCATGTCAGTTTTTTCGATATGTTAAAGTGCTTAATATCACAATACTCTTCAGGTTTCATATTATGTTCAGGTGGGGGAGGGGGAGAAAAATTCCAGTTCAGACATACATTGTTAATAATACAAAGGAAAACAATATAATTTAAAAGGAGAAATATTAATTAAAAGCAAACAAACACAGGGTATCTTTACATGTGGCTCAAGTGCAGCAGGTTTTTTTTTCTATGTTTACATCCTCATTTGACCTTACTATTCCCTTCTATATCAAAATCTGTTTAAAATACACATTGGATACAATCCACAAGTAACTGTACCAGGCATGGCTCCTTCCTAAATAACTAAGGATATGACAGAACCCTTTCAAAGAGGGGGAAATTTGATGATTTCTTTTTCAGTCTGATATAAATATAAATACTTCAGTGTGTCTTTCCGAATTTTGACCTTATCCTTGAAAGAGGCATTGGATTTGGGAAGGTATGATCATCCTTGGATTTATTGTTCTCTTTTGTTGGGGTGCTGAGCCCAGGGCCTTATGTATGCTAAGCACATAGATGACTGAGCTCCAGTCCAGCCCCTCCTTGACTTTCTTTCATCATACTGGAAAAGCAAACCTTTTCAAAAACCTTAAAATTCAGTTTGATCTGGCAGATTTGCATATGTATTTAATAGAAAAAAAGGACATCTTTCTCTTTGTTATGTTAAATGATAATGCAATAAATAGTTACATAAGAAACAAATATTTCTAAAAATACAGATGCATGCCAGGTATGGTGGCGCATGCCTTTGCTTCCAGCAGGTGGGAGGCAGAGGCAGGTGGATCTCTGTGAGTTGGAGGCCAACCTGGTCTACAGAGTGAGTTCCAGGACGGCCAGGCTGCTACCCAGAGAAACCCTGTCTTGAAAAACAAAAACCAAGACCAAACCAAACCAATTAACCAGACAAGAAAAAGAGGTCTGGAAACAGTATTTACTCTATCAAAGTTGAAGAGAGCTCTGATGTCAATCGTAAATGTGAGCTAATGCTAAAATATGTTAAGTAGAATTCAGAGAGCCCTTTCAACACTATGAAAAGAGTAGCCTCTGTAGACCTCAGAGAAAAATACAATTCCCTAAATAAAAAATTAAAAAAATCTATGGGAAAGCCACTATTCTTAGAAGATATTTCACATTATGAAGAGCTCTATTCCTAATGCCGTCAAATATTTTCCCGGGGATCTGATGTCCTTGTCTACTGCCTCATCTTTTAAAATATCTTAGAGATATTAACACATGCTACACATATTACATATATATATATGTGCTCACTGTCCAAAAAATAGGAGGAATTTAGTGTTACTCATAGTCTTATAGAAGCTCATTAGAATAATTTCTTAAAAAGTCATGTTAAAATAAACCCCACAGAGCTAGAAAAGGTACACTAAGTACAAACATTTAAAATGAATTTTAGATGAAATTCAACCTTTGCAAATTTTAGGTATCCCAGTGGGAAACAGGGTCAGGTTGGTAACCTACTTTTCCTACTCACACAGAGTATCTCAGTCATGCTAAGGCGCTGAGAAACACCCTGCCTCCCACAGCATTCTAGAAAGCTTTTCACATGTAACATGCAAACCATTGTAAAGCTACCATAAAGGTGACTTGAAGGTTGAGCTTAGAGGTTTTAGTACTCAAGAAAAATACTTGGCAAATAAGCTTTTGAAGGAGTTGAGATTTTGGCAATTTTATTTTTGACTGCTGAGGCTAGAACCCCAGGTTTTGTACACAGTACATAAACACTCCACCACTGAACTACATCCCCAGACATGGCAAATTTAATAATTTAAAAAAAATTTATGAACGTTTTTATCTTATGAGTGTTTTGCTTACATGTATTTATGTTCACCATACTGGGTGCCTAAAGAGGTCAGAAGAAGGCATGGATCTCCTGCAACTATAGTAACAGGTAGTTATAAGTCACCATGTAGGTGCTGGTAACTGAACCTGGGTCCTCTGCAAGAGTTGGCAGTGCTCTTAACTGTTTGGCCATCACTTCAGCCTTGCAAATTTAACTTTAAAACAAGTTATTTCCAACTTATTATGTGGAATATTAACTATGGTCCCAGATATTTGCTTTAAAGTGATTTGGACAATCACACATGCAAAAGAAGCAGTTTTGATTTTCATTTACTTTGAGGCGATTCCAAAGCACAATACTAGTTTAAACAAAAATGCACAGCAAGAAGAGTATCTGCTGTATGGTCCTTACAAAGTCAGCTTGGATGGTTATTATGACAAAGTGCGTGGGGGACCTTGGCAGACTCCATGGCAGGTGAGGGTGACAGAGGTAGGGGACAAACATGTCAGTCAGATAGAAGTGAGAAGTTTTATTAGAAATGGGAAGGAAGGGGGAAGGAAAGAGAAAAAGAGGTGAAGCGACACAGACTCAGAGAGGACAGGAAAAGTCCTGTCTGCCCCAGAGGAACAGCAGGAAAGAGAGTATAAGTGGGCAGGGATCTTTCTTTTAAAGGGGTCCTTTGCACCTGGGCTCACCAGGGCACTGCCGGAGTGCATTCTGCCAGGTGACAGGCCAGCATAATGACTGAATCCTTACATTTGTTCTGAGGAATCTGCTTTTGTGGTGATGTAAATATGTCTCATATTGATTCAGTTTGTTATAAGCCACATGGTTAAGTCTTACTTCATTATCATTTGCAACAGGAATTAGCTTATGGGCCAGTCAAGCAGCTCCCAAAAGGCCCACTTCTGTGAGCAGGTGCTACACCAAGGGGTAAGACCAGCCTTTGAGAGGATGTATGGTAGTTTTAATCAGTCATTTCACTAATTCATCCAAATGATACCACATGGTAACTTTTACAGGTTACTTTTTTTTTTTTTTGGTATTACGTTTTAAGTAACAGTTTTAAACACAAGCAGGAATGCAGTTTTTACAACAGATGTAATGTCTAAGAAGATAAGAATAAGTCAGGTGTGGTGGCGCATGACTTTAGTCCCAGCACTCGGGAGGCAGACACAGGAGGCTCTCCAAGAGTTCAAGGCCAGCCTAGTCTACAGAGTGATACAGAGTGAATGCAAGGAAAGGCTCCAAAGTGACACAGAGAAACCATGTCTTGAAGGAAAAAAAACACCAAAACAACAACAAAAACAAACAACAACAAAGAGTTAAGAACAGTTTGTTGGGAAGGGCACTCACTTGAATATTCCCCTCATTCAGGAGGCAGAGGCAGGTAAATTCTCTTGAGTTTCAGGCCAGCCTGGTCAGAGCTACACAGAGAGATCCTGTTTTACACACAAAACCAACAACAAAACAATTTAATTTACGTATCAGTCCTTACTAAGTATAACAGGAATATTGCTTCACATCTGTACAGGTGAATGAAGACTCAAGAGAAGAAATACTCTTAAGTAAGAATGCCTTGAAGGTTGGTTCCATGCAGTCTGGTGTGGTAAAAAGCATAAACTCCAAACCCTGTGTTGTCAAGGGGGAAAGGGCAAGAATGTGATCTCATTGACTCTGTTCCCGCCTATAAAATGAAAAAGCTGCACTAGGTGGCTCAATTGTGCCATACTTACTTAAACATCTATCCAGTGCTCAGTGTCAGGATGATGGCCCTATGGGAAAAGAGAACAATAAAATCCGGGAATGGACCATTTATAGCTTCTGGATGTTTCCCATAGCAGGTTTGTGTTTCTAGAGTAGTCTCATACCACTTTAGACACACTTTTATTTTAGGTAAACAAACCTCTGGTTTACCCAGGTCATCTGGAGCCCCTTTCTGTTCACATTCCCGGGAGCTGTTCCTTGGCTCAACAGTCAGTGTCCTGAGGCCCCTGGTCTATTAGTCTCTTCCTATAGTAAACAAGGAAAGCAACACTGTTGGCAAGAGCCCAGGACCCTTAGACTGTGCAAGGCTCCTCTGAGCCTGTGGCTCTGCTTTTCAGCAGCAACGGGGAATAAACCTGGAGCTCCTAGGAGGCAATTTTGCTACCAACAGGGTATCAGTGCATAATTAGAGTTCTACGACTTTACTTACCAGAGGATAAAGGCCTATGCAATTGCTAACATCTTTATGTAGCTTAAAAAATAGACTGTCAAACTAGAAAGTTCTAACTCTAGATCTTTCTAAATTGTTGTCTCAATTTCACTTCTCGGTCCGCTGCAGTGGCTCTTAACTTTTCTGTGCCAATTGCCTAACATTGCCCTGAAACACCCAGAAAGGCTTCATTCTTTCTCTCTGGCCCTGTTATTTGCATTATCATGGCCAACAAATACTTTCACAAAAGCATTCCAATCACACAGAGACCTCCTCCTTCTCCCACATTCCTTCCATTTCCTGAGGGGGATGGGGCAGGCAGAGGGGGTGGCTGGAACCTAACAAAGGCAGGGTTGCTAGTCTAACTCTGGTTAGAGTTTAGATGGCCAAGTGAAAAGTGCAGAGTCACACTGTTTTTGTTTTGAGGTTATTATGACTATACGGCTAATACTGAAATTTGTTATCTCCAAGGTATTCTCAAACAACAGTAACAAAAATTCCAAGAATGAAGCGTCTTCAGGCTAATCTTTCCAAATTAAAGAAGCTGTAATCACACTTGAACACATTTCTCAGGGCTTCTTGTTTTCTTTCCAATGATCAAGGCTCTTGGGATCTGGTATTTGCTTTGTGTGTCTGTCTGTATTCTGGCCTGCAACTCAGAAAGATCCACCTGCCTCTGCCTTCCCCCAGTGCTGTGACTAAAGGCGTGAACCACCAAGTCCTGCTGGGGGCTGGTATTTAAATTAATTATATCTTTTACTTGTAACAATTGAAAAATTTTCACCGAACTGGAGAAGTGACTCTAATTCAAACGTACTCAATGGTTTATAACTTAAAGGTACAATGAGGACCGCTGATAGTATGTAAAGCTGTGTACATTCACCACACACAGGATGGAACTCCAGGAAGGATGGCTGCTTCAGAACAGTGCATTCTGGGTTTCTTTGAGATACCTGGAGGGGAAAAAGAGGCCCTACTGGGCATGTAATTTACACGTTGACTGGCTTCTTCCTGACTAGCACCACTCTCCCCACCCCCAACGTTTTTTAAGCTACTTGTTTTAAGTCACAGGAATATTCAATCTAAGAAAAGTATCTTATTAGAGTAATATAATTTCTTAAAGGTAGCATATTTACACACATCTAACACATGAAAATACTCTGTTTTATACTAAATTTCAGGTTCAAATGAACTACAATACAGCACTTTGCCTTGTGTGCAGAGTGGAGACTGTTCAAACTGGGCTTCCGGTGCACTGCCCAGGCAGTGCTCACAATTGTCAGACCAGTGCAGACAGGTCCCATAGTCCGGGGAGGTTCAGGAGCCAGGGGCAGGCTGAAGAGTTTCTTGTCAGCTGGTTTACACATCTACTCCTTTGATAAGAGACCCTTCCAAGACTATGGTGAAATCCTGAATGGTCTGCAGAATTCGGATAAGGGAGTTGACAGTCATGTGGTCTCGGAGGAGTGCACTCTCTTCATACATTCGGGTAATGGCAGGACACTCAGCTAGCAATGGAATCCACTGTGGGAGCAGGTGATCCCTATAGACCCAAACGGAAACAGCGTGTGAGGGATACATTGTAACTGGATCTCTCCCTCTGCCTTTCCCTTTCATTATCAGCCTATTGAAACAATAATACTACAATAAATTAATAGTGCTCCTAGGTGCAGCTGTGGTGGCACACACCTGTTTTGTCCAAGCACTTAGGAAGCAGATACAAGCAGATCTCTAAGTTTGAGGTCAGCTTTGTCTATATCATGAGTTCCAGGCAAGTCAGAGCTACATAGTGAAACCCTGTCTCAAAATAAGATAAAAGTTTCCCCAACGAATCTTCTGGGAGAAGGCTGAAGTCTTGGGTGCAGACAGAGTAAAAACCTGTCAGGTGATCTTGTAGGGGAGACTTGGAACTTACAAAGTAATGGGTGGATTCACACAGGTGGAACAGCTTTGTAGTTATGATCTTGTCTCCCATTCAATCTGCTTTGGTGCAAGCTCTACCCAAGCTCCATTCCCCTATCTCCCTCCAACCCTGCTACATCTCAGAAAGCACCCCCAGAAAACAGATGATGGGTGGTTTTTTGGGTCCCTCTTTCCTGTCTCATCTCTGGTGGGCTAGAAGGCCATCCAGGAGCGTTGAACATTGTATCCATTAAACATGGACTTTTTCTAATTTGATTTGATTTGGTCTGATTTGGATTGCTGCATCGGTGGAGAGGCTTGCTTATTGGAGTGCAGAAACTATTCACAATCCGTTTCCTCAAGTTGGGGCCCTACGTGCCCACATCTATGTTGAACTAGGAGTGTATATCTTTGTCTCTCTTCCCAATGTGGCCATGTTGAATAAATTTCCCCTTTTCTGCTTTTCACTATTTTTTAAAAAATTTTGTTTGTGCCATGTGTATACAATGCCTATGGAGGCCAGAAGTGGTGGCCATACCCTCTGGAGTTGGAGTTAAAGGTGGTTATTTGCTGCTTGATGAGGGTGCTGGGAACTGAACCAGGGTCCTCTGGAAGAGAAGAAAGTGCTCTTAACCGCTGAGCCATCTCTCTAGCCTCTGCTTTCCATTATTAATTGGCATTTACTTTGCTTAACCAGGACAGGTAGCTGAGCCTGGCTTGTAGTACAAGCTGTGACCCACAGGTCAGACATGAACAATACACAATGTACACACACTAGGGAGGGTAGGAGTTGCATGGTGCCCAACCCAGCCAAATTCTGTGTTAATGTTAGCACACTTTGGAAGTGAGTTTACATAAAAGGGAGTATTAGCCACACATCCTGTTCCCCACCCTTCTGCCTCTCTGGGAATCAGAGAGCCTAGCTACAGACTTGTAATGTAAAAACTTTCCCATTCTCAAAGATGTAAGAACAAAACATTCCTACCATGTGGGCCCTGGTTCCCCTCTTCAGAGACCCTACCATGCTGTCTGCATATGCAAGGGCCTGAACTCTCCCAGTGGCCTCCTCTGTCTGTTCACTATGTAAATGTTAAGTTGCAAACCCAAGATAAACCTCAGTTCACTCATGGCTCCTCCTGGCACTTCTCACCCTTACCCTAAACTGCTCCATCTCAGGGGCTTAGCTTCCTTTGCCCTAGCCCCAGATTCCTTGTAACTCAGCCATTCTGGGTCTCGGTCCAGGCCACCTCTCTTGGTTGGTGGCTTCTCTCTTGCTCTCTCTCCCCTTCTCTTCTCTCATGGTCCAGTGAAGTTTGTTGGCCATGATCAGCCTGGATTCTGACCTCTGCTGCCTTCTCCCTGGTATCCACAGTAAAAATCTTCTCCATACTTTAGGAATAGTCATATCAACATCCTTTTATTTCATTTCTTTGTTCAGTTAATAACTTTGCTAATTAACTCAGTATTCCCTGGTAATCCATCTCAGTGTCCCTCTCGAAACCCCTCCTAGGGCTAGGCACTTGGGAGGCAGAGGTAGGCAGATCTCTGTTAGTTCAAGGTCAGCCTGGTCTACACAGGAAGTTCCACAGAGAAATCCTGTTTCAAAAAACAAAAAGCAAAACAAAAAAACATTAAAATTATTTTTATTTTCACCTAATTTATTTATTTATCCCTCCCTCCCCTGCTCAGTGCTGTAGATTTAACCTAGGTCCTTGTGCATACTGGTTAAGGGCTACCTCTAAGCCCCACCCCTGTCCTCTTTTTTTTTTTTTTTTTTTTTTTTGGTTTTTCGAGACAGGGTTTCTCTGTGGTTTTGGACTCCCTGTCCTCTTTTCATATTTTGAATTAGTGCCTTAGTAACTCCCTAGTCTGGTCCTGATCTTGCTCTGTGGCCAAAGTAACTTGTGATTTGTCTGCCTTTGCTTCCTGAAGAGCTGGTATTACAGGCCAGTGCCATGAGGAACGGCTGTTTTCTTACCATGTGATTTTGCTAATGTATTTGGGTCTATCTGATTCCTATTGTCTGACTTATAAAATAGGTACATGGGGGCTGGAGAGATGGCTCAGTGTTTAATAGCACTTGCTGCTTTTGCAGAGGATCTAAGTCCAATTTCCAGGACCCACATGGTGCTCACAAGTGACTTGAACTCCAGCACCCTCTTCTGGTTGCTGCAGGCACCAGGAAATTAGCACATACACACATGCAGGCAAAAGAACATACATTTATTTATTTATTACTTTTTGGCTCTTAGCAACAAGATTTCTCTCTATAGCTCTGGAACTTGATTTGTAGACCAGGCTGGCCTTGAACTCATAGGTCTTCAAGTCTGTTTCCTGAGTGTTAGGGTTGATGGTGTGAGCTACCACACCAAGTAAGGCACACCACCATTTATATACAAAATAAAACACAGAAACCTTTTTAAGAAATGGGTAAATCAGTTCCTACTGTAACAGAAAGGTACCCAGGAAACAGCAGTCTCATAATAAAAGTTGGAAAGAAGAAACCTAAGAGAAATGGCCATAACCTGGTATAACTTTTCTAGACTCATGTTACCCACATAACAAAAAAAAGGAAAGGATAACTTTAACTCTGTACCTTGTTCCAAGGCAAACTAGAATCTGGAATTTGCCGTCCTTCCCAATGCTCCTGGGTGCAGTATTAATAGCATTCACATAGTGGCAGAAGGTTTTGCAAGATGATTTCTGAATGAGTACATCATCTTCATTGTCTAAAATCTGGCCAGTGGTTTCAAAATAAGCCACTGCTTTCTCTGAGGAAGACAAGCAGAGTCACAACACACTATAACAGTTATATGTAGAAATGTCATCTAATTTATTCTGGAAACTCTACTGGGGCTTGGGATCACAGTCCCCTAATTCAAATCATTAGTTTATCACTGATTTCAGAATGAATTACAGAGAGCTATATATAGTTCATGCCAAAGCAATATGATTCCTGGTGCAAAACCACCGCCTGGCAATGATTTTTTTTTTTTTTTTTTGGTTTTTTGAGACAAGGTTTCTGTCATGGAACTTGATTTATAGACCAGGCTGGCCTCAAACTCACAGAGATCCTCCTGCCTCTGTCTCCAGAGTGCTGGGATTATAGGCGTGCATCACAACTGCCTGACTAGTAATTTATTTTCAAGACCACATTCCAGAAGGCTGGAAAGTTTATTCTTTTTAAATATCTTCATGAAACAAATTAGCATTAAAAAAAATAAATAAAAGGGCCAGGCGGTGTTGGCGCACACCTTTAATCCTAGCACTCGGGAGGCAGAGGTAGGTGGATCTCTGTGAGTTCGAGACCAGCCTGGTCTACAAGAGCTAGTACTAGGACAGCCTCCAAAGCCACAGAAAACCTCTGTCTCGAAAAAGCAAAACAAGCAAACAAACAAAAAACAACCAAAAGGTAAGAGAGAGAGAGCTGGTGTTGGTGGCTCCTGTCTTTAATCCTAGCACTCGGGAGGCAGAGGTAGGTGGATCTCTGTGAGTTCGAGGCCAGCCTGGTCTACAGAGTGAGTTCCAGGACAGCCTCCAAAACAATACAGAGAAACCCTGTCTCCAAAAAAAAAAAAAGAGAGAGAGAGAGAAATGAAAGGAATTATCTTCTAAGAGTAGACCCTTCCAGGAATCAACACAGTGACCATTTGACCATTAAGACGGTACCTTCAGTAAGATTATTAAGTGGACCTAAATGGGCCTTGTGGAGTACTAACTAAATCTGAGAGAGATGCAGACCTTAGAGTCAGGAGCAGTAAAATTCTAAGCTTTCCAGAAAGGAGGGGGAACAAAATCACTCTTAGGTGCTTTGCCAATTTTCTTTTCTTTGCTCAAAAGTTCTGAGTTCATGTAGGCCAACTTCACAAACACAAAACAGCTCACTAACTCTGTAACGGCTGAGTCATCTCTGCAGCCCCCTCTTTTATTTTAGTAAACACTGTATGTGTATATGTAGGGGGGCAACGTGTGGGAGGTAGTTCTCTCTTTCCACCTCATAGGTGCCTGGGGCCAAACTCCACGCCTCTTCTTGTTGAGCCCTCATTAGCCCCCAAACATACGAGTGTATTACTACTTTTTATTCATTTAAAATTGGCTTTCTGAGTTTTATTTTTTTAATTTTTTTTGTTGTTGTTTTTTGAGACAGGGTTTCTCTGTTTTGTTTTGGAGCCTGTCCTGGTACTTGTTCTATAGACCAGGCTGGCCTTGAGCTCACAGAGATCTACCTGCCTCTGCCTCCCAAGTGCTGGGATTAAAGGCGTGTTGCACCAACACCCAGTTATTTTTTAAAAAAATTTACTTATGTACGTATTTATTTTACACAGTATCCTGCCTGTATAAAGAGGGGACCAGATCTGTGTACAAATGCTCTTAACTGCTGAGCCATCTCTCCAGCCCCATCTTTCTGGGGCTGTTTTAAAGAAACACTTCAGTGGCTTTATAGTAACATACATCTACTTAATTTACCTACGAAGTCCCAGATGAAGACATTCTTGTGAAAGATGCGGGCAGATTTGAACCCGTGATGAAAAACCTGTTCCAGTGCAGCAACCAGGCCATTTTCTCCACACAGCAGCACTGTAAGGCTTCCTCTCTGCAAACCATAATGTTAACACAGTAACAAGGGAACTCTGCTGCTTCTATGTTTAAACAAAGAAAAACCAAAACCAACCAATACTAGAGGGGCTATAGAGATGGCTCAGTGGTAAAGAGCACTGGCTGTTCTTTCAGAGGACCTGGGTTCAGTTCCCAGCACCCACACTATGGCTCATAACCACCCTTAACTACAGTTCCAGGGGAACCAATGCTTGCTTCTAGCTTTCCAGGCACCAGGCACACATGTGGTACACAGACATACATGCAAGCAAAACACTCATACAAATGAAATAAAGCACCTCCCCACCCCCAAATAACAACCACACTAGAGAAACAAAAGCTGAGGGTAGCCAGGTAGGGATGGTGCATGACTTTAATCCTAGCATTCTTGAGGCAGAGGCAGAGGCAGGTGGATTTTGAGGCCAGCTGGTCTATAGAGCAAGTTCCAGGATAGCCAGTGCTATACAGAGAAACCCTGTCTCAAAAGAAGAAAAAAAAAAAAAAGCCCCACTATACATATAGCTTTACTGCCCCATGATACCTCCTTTTCAGGTTTGTGAAAGTGCTTCACAATATTGTTCACAGCTTCTCCAATTCCTTCCTGGATCTGTCCAGCACTGGGTTCTGCAAAATAATTAATAGTGTCTATATTCTTGTGAGAAATAAATGAATCAAAATACTATGGATATTCAACTGTAAGTCTCTGCAGGAAAAACTTCATCCAAGCAAGCTAGCTTTTCCAGAGACCCCATGGAGTTTGCCAGTGGACAAAATGGCCAAGTCTGAGGGCTTGTGATACACTGGAAAATAATCCAAGAGACCCAAGACTCAAATCCCAGCCACACTACCTGCAAACCATAACACAAGTCTAATTTCCTCTGGCTTTTTTCAACTGAAAATAATTGAAAGACAAAACCAAGGGCTGGAGAGATGGCTTAGAGGTTAAGAGCACCGGCTGAGTTCAAGTCCCAGCAGCTACATGGTAGCTCATAACCATCTATAATGAGATCTGGTGCCCTCTTCTGGCACACAGGCATACTTGTATGCAGAAAATTTTTTACATAAGAAATAAATAAATAAATAAATCTAAACAAAAAACAAAAATCCAAACCACAACAAGACAAAAAAACAAAAAACAAACAAAATAAAACAAAACAAAAAAACAAACGCTCCTCCCTGAGAAAACAGAACAAGATATTCAACGCAATCATGTGGCGGGGTTCCTATCATGAAGTGCTACTACTCTCCAGATGTGAGGAGTGAAGGGAGGAAGACCCCCTTCATCATTGCTCAGAGGGCCCCAGCCAAGAATCTTGTAGGTATTTGCTAAGGCACTGAGGCTCTCAGTGACCTATGTGAAATTCTGCTGTTGTGGTTAAACAGAAGAGGCTAGATACCATGTGGTGCGCTGACCAGAGGTCAGGCTTTCTTCCCTTCCTGATTGGTCACCCTCCTTGCTCCATTCCCCCAGTGAGCGCATGTTCATCTACGCCTCTTTCTAGGGAGCTTGGTGGGCTGCCTGAATGGGACCTGAATCACAGTGGTGGTTTGAATGAGAATTACCCCCATAGGCTCATATATTTGAATGCTTAGAACCCGGGTGGTGGGTGCCGGGAAAGGAACGCAGATCTTTATGAGTGGGAAGAAAGCACTGTACCTTCTGAGTATTCCCCAGCCTATCTTTGTAAATCTCCTCATCGTAATTCACTAAGACAACTGCTTTCTGGAAGATGGCCACACAAGCCTGCAATGAGGCAGTACATTAGAAAACAACTCACTGGAGGTCTTTCCAGTTAGTGACGTGATACTCAGTCTCCTGGTTGTTGTGGGAGATTTCTGCTGTGGTGGAGTCCGACACTGTTTTCCCAGGTCTTCATCTGAAGCTGATGCCATCAATTCTCCAATAAGAATTCTTTCCAGGCTTCCATCATCGATGCCTTTCCCTAGCCACCGCCCACATGGGAATCTGACAGGGTAGGAAAAAAAAAATCTTTTGATTTGAAACCTTTTGAATCTATTTTTGTGGTTGTGAACCTACTCTGGTCTCCAGAGATCCCATGAATCTACATTTTAAAATTTTTGTCTTGTTTTTATTTTGAGATGGGTTCTTACTCTGTTGCTAAGGCTATCCTAGAATTTACTATGTGAAGGCTATCAGGATGGTATCTAACTCCAGGCAATCTTTTTTTTTTTTTTTAAGATTTATTATGTATACAGTATTCTGCCTGAATGTATTCCTACAGGCCAGAAGAGGGCACCAGATCTTATTGCAGATGTTGTGAGCTGCCATGTGGTTGCTCAGGACATATGTAAGAGCAACCAGTGCTCTTTAACCTCCCAGCCATCACTCCAGCTCTCCAGGCAATCTTCTGCCTCAGTTTCTGGAGTACTGGGATTACAGGCCTGAGTGACATCACTCTTGGCTTCCTTGAGTTTTAGTTAAAGATTTAAAAATGGTGTTGCAGGTAAAGTCCATGATGCTAATATCTGAGGACTGTTCATTTCATCATTAGAAATTTCAAAAATACAGAAAAGTAGAGAACAGCCAGGTGTGGTAATATATGCCTTTAATTCTAGCACTTGGGAGGCAGAGCTCTGTGAATTCCAGGATAGCTTGGTCTATACAGTGCTATATATAGAGAGCATACAGACAAACCAATTTAAAATTTTATTATTTTATATCTATGAGTGTGTGTCTGCATGAATATCTGTGTGCCATGTGTATGCCTGTGCCTTCAGAGGCCAGAGTGAGTACTAGATCTCTGGAACTGGAGCTACCGATGACTGTGCTGGGAACTGAAACCATCAAGTCCTCTTAACCACCAAGCTATTTCTCCAGCCTTCATAATCTGTTCTACCAAAGATTAAATATTTTTTCTTATTCATGTCTGTGTATGCATGCCTTTGTGTGTGCTTATGTACACACATATGCAGATGCATGTGATACCCATGGAGGCCAGCAAAGGCACTGGATATCCTGAGGCTGGAATTATACGCAGTTATAAGCTACCTGAGGTGGGTGCTGAGATCTGAACTTGGGTAGAGTAGCAAGTGCTCTTATTGCTGAGCCATCTCGTCAGCCCCAATCTGTTTGTTTCTTATTATTATTCTCTCTATGTAGCCTTGGCTGTTCTGGTGGCCCCAAACTCATAGAGATATATCTGTCTCTGTCTCCTGAATGCTGGGACTTGAGGTGTACATAATCACACCTGGCCAAAAATTAGTTCATGAGGTAGTGGGAAGGCTTTAGGATAATTTAAAACATTTTGTTACCTAAAGAGCTTTAAGATAAAGAATTCTGCTCCTCCTAAGTCCATTTACTCACCTATATGTATGTCCTGTGATTTCATTTCTGACCATGACACAATCCACTAGCCATTTAGCTAACAGTCCGGAGTTATCGTGGCCAATCTGAACTGTAGTGAGCTTTCCCAGGTTCTGGCACTGTAGAGACAGGACCACAAATTATTCTGTACTCAATTCTTTTCTATTCCCTTTCAGCTTTGGCAGTGGACCTTGGCTCCATCTAGTACTTACAGAGACCTACCCTTGACAGTGTGTTAAGTTTAATGGCACAGGTAACATTCATGTAGTCTTTGCTCTCAGGGAACTTCATATACTGAGACAGGAGATGGACACTGACTACCAAATGGGGTGAAGTGCTTGGTGTGCTTGACCAGAAATGCAAGCCAGTATTAGAGGAATGCTGGAGAAGTAACAACTATTTCTATTTGGGGAATTCAGAAACAGAACCACTGATAATGATTTATGCTTTAACTGAAGAGTGAAAAGGATTTCACTAAGTGGGGAAGGGTCTTACTTAGATTGACTTACAGCAAACAGCCAATTTAAAAAGAAATCACTAACTGATATGGTTTTATATTTTTTAACAGGGGACTAGGGTATAGTTCAATGGTAGAGTGCTTGTCTAGCATGTTCAAGGCTCTGATCTACTAGAGAAGTTTAAGGGGCTATTTGTAAAAATCATCTTACCTACAAGTGATATATACTCTAAGACTCCCAATATGTGCATGAAACTTCCCTAACACCAAACCTACACATACTGTATTTTTCCTATACACACTGCAATGTTGCTACATATACCAGAGTTGTTCCATGTTTTATGGTCTGGACCCTTCTCTGAAACATTACTCTTATGCTGTGGGGCCACTAATAAGCGAAATAAAGGTTACACAGACACAAGCCACTGTCACACCTAAATAGTTAATCTGATAACCTAAACGGGAGGGTAGCACACATACAGACATGTTAGACAAAGACAGAATTCATGGCTGACACAGGAACAGCACAGATTTCATTGTGCTATTCATAATGGCGTACAACTGAAAAACTTAGAAATTGTGGACTGAGGGTGTAGTTCAATGGTAGAATTCTTGCTGGTCATGTGTAAGGCCCTGGGTTTGTTCCTTTTTGTAACAAAAACCATGGATGTGTAAACAGTTCTCATACTTAAAATTTTTAATCTTTGTTTTGTTTGTGAGACAATTTCATTAGGCATCTAGGATGGCTTTGAACTTACAGCAATTCTTCTGCTTCTATCCTGAGTGCCGGGACTCCAGCCATGTGCCACCATGCCTGGCTTCTTATTTTTATTGTTTTGCTCTTTGAGACATGAACTCATGCAACCCAGCTGACCTCAAACCTGCTATGTAGCCGAGGATGCCTTGAACTTCTGACTCTATCTCTGCTTTTCAAGTGCCAAAGCTATAGGAATACACCACCATGCTCAGCTTCTGTGAATTTTTGCTTTTGGAAATTTCTGCTTTATATTTTTGGATCACAATGAACAGCAGGTACCACAACTGTATAAAGTGAAATTATGAATGAACTGCAGTTATTAATGTCATTGCTGGCCCTTTGGGGACAAGCACAAAACACAGCAATGGTAACAGGAATTCTGCCTGCTTCTGCCTCCCAAGTGCTGGGATTAAAGGCATGTGCCACCACTACCTGGTGGTTTTTAACTTTTGCATAAAAATAGACGTGAGTCTGCCACATGCATAGAGCCAAATGGACTGTTGGGCTATGGGTTTTGATTCCAAATGAAAATGGCTATTCCTAGACCCCAAGGAACATAACTGAGAACAAAACATCAGTTAGTACCATTTCTCTCCCAAAATAGATTATTTTATTCCTCGCCTATCAGAACCAACCTGAATAGGGGTTCAAATACACGGAAATACTCTAGTAGATGGGACTCAAAACTGTTACTATAAAAAGTCATATTTATAGGAGATGGGCGGTGGTGACATACACCTTTAATCCTAGCACCTGGGAGCCAGAGGCAGGCAGATCTCCGAGTTCAAGGCCACCCTGTTTTACGGAGTGAGGTCCAGGACATTCAGGGCTGAGGTTATACAGAGAACCTCTGTCTTGAAAAACCAAACCCAAACAAAAAACATTCTGTAAATGTCACTATGTGCTTTGAAAGCCATAAGCATGGACATCAGCTCTCTAGTCCTGAGGAGAAACCACTTTAGGAAAAGCTTTTATTTAACATTCTCTGTTTGTCATGTTTTGTGTTAGGCACTGGGAATCAAGGAACAGGACTTAGTAAAGCCTACTACAAGTAGAAAAATGAAATAATTAAAATGAAAATAAAAAGCAAACTAGTGTAAGCTGCTTCAGACAACTATAAGGTTATAACAACAAAATGATTCTACATGATTACATGTTCCTTTATTTAAATTGTTCCAAGGAAAAATGAAAAAACAAAACCAGAGTTCTTCTGTAGAACTAAAAAGGCATTAACTAACCTACCTCAAAAGTCATCTCAAGCAGGTTTTTTGGAATCTGCATTACTCCTGTGTCTCCTAGCTCTCCTGAAACACAGATCCACGGGTTTGATGTAATGATCGCATTGCTCAGCTTTTTAATTGGAATGATCACTGATCTATAAGGAATCACTGAAAGAAAACACAGAAGTGAATTAAAAAAAAACACTATTATCCACAACTAGATGCTTTTAAGATATATTTTGCTTATTTATCTTGTTTCTTTTTATATGTATGAATGTTTTGCCTGCATGTTATATATCCACACCACATCTGTGTCTAGTGACCTCAGAGATCAAAAGAATGGAGTCAGATCACCTGGAACTGGAGTTAGGATACTGGAGTTATGAATGAACCATCATGTGGGTGCTGGGAACCGAACCCAGGTCCTTAGCAAGAACAAGTGTTCTTAGCCACTGAGTCCATCTCTCTATCCCCTATTACTTGTTTTTTTATAATCAATTATTAAGATTTACTCATGAGGGCCAGTGAGGTGGCTCAGTGGTTAAAGGTACTTGTTGCCAAGCCTGACAACCTGAGTTCAATCCTGGAACCCGCATGGTGGGAGGAGAGAACCCACTCCTACAGAATGCCAGGATCAGGTCTATTGAGGTGACTCATATGCAACAGGGATCTGGGAGAGCCAGATGTGACCAGATCTATAGGAAGCCTTTTCAAAGACCTCACCACTAGATGTCACCATCCTGCCATAGACCTTGGCTAAATGTAAAAGCCCAAGAAAATTTGGAATTTAAAGCAGAAACCACGCAAGAATGCTGCTGACTGTTGGCTTACTCACAGGCTCATTACTTAGCTAGCTTTCCTATACAGCCCAGGACCTGTGCAGGGAATGGTGCCACCCACAGTGAGCTGGGCTCTCCAATATTAATTTATAATCAAGGGGAAGAAAAAAAAAAAGAAGAAGAAAAACAATCCCTTACAGCCATGCCTGCAGGCTAATCTGAGCAGGGTAATTCCTCGATTGAGACTCCCTTCTTAGGCTGTGTAAAGTCAAAGTTAACTAGGGTGCTCACCACTTGGTAGACAAGCCCAGTTCAGCATACTTCTATGGTTTCTTTCTGCTTTAAGAACTTACCTGTCACCGGGCGTTGGTGGCGCACTCGGGAGGCAGAGGCAGGCGGATCTCTGTGAGTTCGAGGCCAGCCTGGTCTACAAAGTGAGCTCCAGGACAGCCTCCAAAGCCACAGAGAAACCCTGTCTGGAAAAAACCAAAAAAAAAAAAAAAAAAAAAACTTACCTGTCTTGAGTTTCTTGCCCTGATTTACTTCAATGATAGACTGTAAGCTCTAAGCTGGAATAAACTCTTTCCTTAATTTGCTTTTTGGTCATAGTATTTGTCATGGCAAAGGGAGGGAACTAGGATAACAGAATATTTCTTTAATATATTCCAATTCCTCAAATTGAAAGTTTCTCAGAAAAAGAGAAACCTACACATACAAGAATATTTTAGAGGTTCTTAGGCATCTTATTATTATGTATGTGATATGCCTATGTTAGTGTTGGTACATGTGTGTCATGGCTCATTCAGAATTGGTTTTCTTTCTATCTTTTCATGGGTTCCAGGGATCAATTCAGGTCACTGAGATTGTGTGCAAACTGCCTTTTTCTGCTGAGACATCTTGCTAGTCCTTTTGTTTGTTTTTTGTTTTGAGATTTGATTTACGCATCCCATTCTGGCCTTGAAAACAGCTGAGAATGGCCATGTTTTTAGCCATCTTAAGTGACCTTTCTTTTCTTTTAAAATCTTAAAAACAAAAACATTTGTGTGTATTTGTCTGTGTGTGAGCATATGTGAGTGTAAGAGTGTGTATATCTGTACTTGTTACCTTGGCACACATGTAGAGCTCAGAGGGCAATTTTTGGGAATTGGTTCTCTTTCTACCATGGGAACTGAACCCAGGTTGTCAGGCTCTGGGGCAAATGCCCTTACCCACTGAGCTATCTTGCTGGATCTCCCTTTCTTTTGAGATGCAACTTTCCTGTGTAGACGAGGCCAGCCTTGAATTTTTAATTTTTTTTTTTTTTTTTTTGCCTCAGCAGGGATTATAGGAGCTACATGCCCAGTCTTTAGACTTTTTTTTTTTTTTTTAAATTTAAAGACAGGGTTTCTCTGTGTAACCCTGGCTGTCCTGGAACTTAGAGATCTGCCTGCCTTTGCCTCCCTAGTGCTGGGATTAAAGGTGTGTGCCACCTGGCTTGGTTAGTTTTTTTTTTAGTGAGGCATTTGCACAGGCTGGAATGGGAGAGCTAGGGAGTGTCCTACATTCCTAATGGAAATCGAGGGGTTGCCAGTGTCCTTCTTGTGCTATGACAGATCTCATTTTTGGAAAAATGAATACTTGTATTCCAAGAGTTACTTGAGGATCTCCCCACCCCAAAGTTAGTCTTTTCTTTCTCTTTTTTGAGAAAGGGTCAGGATACATAGCCACACTCACTGGTTTTGAACTGGCAATTTTCTTGTTTCAGCCTTCTGAGTGTCGGGGACTACAACTATTGGCTACCGTGCCTGCTCACCTGGAAACTGTTCACTTAAATGTCAACTCCCCATACTTACTAATGGTGGTGAACACACTGGTAAAGCAGAAATAGTCCACAGCATTGAGGGAAAGCAGATGGTAGAGGAACTGCTCTCTTTCTTCTTCACAGCGCAGAAAAGCGTAACGCTTGTATAGCTTCCTGAGAAAGGTTAACACAAGCACAAAATGGTAGTCACAGTTTTCATTCTTAAAAATCATGACTTCAAATTAATACCCTGAGTCAATGCACCCGTTCAGGGAGTAAAAGCACTTGCTGGCTAAGGAGAGAACCTAGCCGGGCGTTGGTGGCACACGCCTTTAATCCCAGCACTCGGGAGGCAGAGGCAGGCGGATCTCTGTGAGTTCGAGGCCAGCCTGGTCTACACGAGTTAGTCCCAGGACAGCCTCCAAAGCCACAGAGAAACCCTGTCTCAAAAAACCAAAAAAAAAAAAAAAAAAAAAAAAAAAAAAGGAGAGAACCTAACATCCAACAACACCCACAGGTTGTCCTCTGATTTCCACACATTCATGGTGGCTCTTGTATACATTCATTTGTGCAAAAAATAAACAAAACAAAAACAAAAACTAAAGATCAATCAATCAAACAAACAAAAATCCCCTCAAACCTGGGCTGGAGAGATATCGAGGTGGTTAAGAGAACTGGCTGCTTTCCCAGAAGACATGGATTTGATTCCCTAGCACATGGCATTTCATAACTGTAATACCAGCCTTATGGCACTGTACAATGCAGGGCAATTCACATACACAGATAAAACACCCATACATGTAAAACAAATAACACTCTCACTTCATCATGTGGGTGCTAGGAATTGAACTCAGGTGTGCTGGAAGAGCACCCAGTAAGTGCTGAGCCATCTCTCCAGTCCCTTTTACCTCACTCGTTAGTTCATTCATTTATTCATTCACTCATTTTTGAGAGCATTTCTCATCAGACCTGGAGTTCCCTGATTCAGCTAGAATGGAAGCTCAATGAGCTCCAGGGATACCACTCCTGAGACACACTATGGCAAGTTGGGATTATAGGCTTGTGCTACCACACCTGGCTTTTTTCTGTGTGGGTGACAGGCACCTGAACTTGAGTCTTCATGCTTACACGGCAGGCATTTAACCACCAGAGTCATTTCCTCAGCTTCCGTTTTTACTTTATCTTAATTATGCAGCCCAAGCTGGCCTCAAACTTGCTATATTGCGGAGGTCCTCCTGTCTACAACTTTAGAGTGCTGGTAATAGGTATGTACCATCATATCCCATTTAATTGGTGCTAGGGACCAAACACATGACTTCATATATGCTAGGCAAGCATTCTACCAAGTGAGTTACAGCTTAAGCCCTAACACTATTTTTTTTCCTTGAGACAGGGTTTCTCTGTAGCTTTGGAGGCTGTCCTAGAACTAGGTCTTGTAGACCAGGCTGGTCTTGAACTCACAGAGATCTGCCTGCCTCTGCCTCCAGAGTGCTAGGACTAAAGTCATGTGCCACCACCACCCAGCTCTATTTTTTTATTTATTTATTTAATTTACTCTTTGGAAATTAAGATTCATTCTGAGCTTGGAGTGGTAGTGTATCTTTTAGTTTCAGCACTCAGGAGGCTAAGGTAGACAGATCTCTGTGAGTTTAACGTTTGCCTGATCTAAGTGAGTTCCAGGGCAAACAAAACAAAACAAAACAAAGCAAAACACTCATTCTAAAATGCTCCAGGGTGATATATGTGAATGTAAGAGTACAAACTACTGGTTACCATGGTGTCTAAGGTTTAAATCAGGTTCTTTGTAAACCTTTGCTCTTGAGAACTCTAACTTCTTAGCTTTCAAATAAGTTCTATTGTCCTATTATTTAGAAGGATTTCTTGTGGGGCTTGGAAGCACACCTTTAATCCCAGCACTCCAGAGGCAGAAGCAGGTAGATCTCCAAGAGTTTGAGGCCGGCTTGCTTTACATAGTGAGATTCAGGGCAGCCAGAGCTACATAGTGAAACTTTATGTAGCTCCAGAATAAAAAAATAAATGGATTTTTAAAAAATAAGGACAGAAACTGTTCGACTGGTTAACAATTAACTGATTTGTAAATGACTGGTTTCTTGAATCTAAACTATTAAAAGTAACTATTAGACTCTGTCTTTCTGTTCTTCTAGTCTATTTGTTTTTATCTAAATCTCTATTGTTCTATTTTATTAATAAAGAGCCAGGAGCCAGATGCTGGGGTGAAAACCTGCTAGCTCAGAGAGGCAGAGAAAGCACCCAGCTGGCCTTCATTTTCCACGGCTGTCCCAGAAAGAGAGCTTTCTGCTACCCTACCTAAAACAAAGAAACTTCCTCTAACTGGATGTCCCTCCCTTCTACTTCCTGTACCTCTCTCTCCATCCTCCTGACTCCCTCTAACTCTCTGTTTCTTTCCTGTTTACTGGTTGCTTGCTCCACCTCTTGACATAAGGTTGATTCTGTTTAATCCTGTCTACAACATTCAAGCAGAAAGCTCTTAAAGGCGTGTGCTACAGGTAGAAACAGGTTTTTTCCAGTAAATAACACAATCTCAATGTTCAAAGTGTGATCAAATATCCTGTACCAACTTTTTTCTTTTCTTTTTTTCGGGTTTCTCTGTATTGTTTTAAAGACTGTCCTGTAACTCACTTGGTAGACCAGGCTGGTCTCGAACTCACAGAGATCCGCCTGCCTCTGCCTCTTGAGTGCTGGGAAAAAGGAATGCGCCACCAACACCCAGCAATTTTTTTTCTTTACTCTTCCTTTTTTGAGACAGTGTCCCTCGGTGTAGCCCTGACTGTCTTGGAACTCGTTCCTGAGGCCAAGGCTGGCCTCAAACTCACAGAGATCCACCTGCCTTTGAGTGCTCTGCAACAACAACTTCTTGCTGAGTTTTATGCAATGAAGCTAATGTTACGTTCAACATATCTTTTGGATATTACTGTCAGCTTGTGTGGACTAGTGAGCACGTATTTCTCTATTTACAGGACAGGAATCTGGTCTTTGGCTGTTAAATCTGGTGTGCCCTCCCAGAAATGAGCAAATATTCTACAAAGGTATTTCTTTCTTTCTTTTTTGAAGATTTATAATGTATACCGTGCTCTGTCTACACACCAGAAGAGGGCACCCAGATCCCAGTAGAGAAGGTTGAACTGAGCCACCATGTGACTGCTGGGAACGGAACTCAGCCAGTGTCCCTCAGCTGTCTCAGCAGCCCCACAAAGGTGTTTTCTGAACCACACCTGTCATACAAGAATGTATGTGTTCATGAATCTGGATTCACAATAAAGGTGCTAGCTTGTCAGCTTACTTAATTTCCTCTGTAAGCATGAGTCATGGGGACAAGTGTCGTGAGAGGCAGAGTCTTACTTGGTCAGCAGTTGGTTAGAAAGCAGCTGCTTGAGATGCTGTGACAAAAGCTTCTTTTCTAGAGACAATCTTATCCATGCCCGGGCTCTGCCAACATCAGTTTTGATCTCACTCATGTTTTGAATATGCCTAAAAATCATCGAGAAAGAAGAATTTTTTTTGCATTTAAATACATATTGTTTTTAGACAACCTATATGAAATTTTTTTCTTAAAACAATACATATGATTCAAATAAATCACAGTCAAAATAAAAGCTCAAAATGACATCAATCTCCTTTGTCTTTTTTGTGGGGGAGAGGGTGGTTTGATACAAGGTTTCTCTGTAGCCCTGGCTGTCCTGGAACTCACTCTGTAAACCAGGTTGGCCTCTGTCTCCCAATTGATGACATTAAAGGCATCACCACCCAGCTTAGTCCCCCTTTGTCCTAAGTCCTGGTGTTGCACGGATGACAAGCAATAGCAGGTCATGGTGAAGGTGACAGATCAAAAATAACTGACCAATTTGTTACCATTTTCCCATTTCTAAATTATCCTTAAAGAAATTCATGTATAGAATCAGACCATCTCTACAGTAGTCTATGGGAGCAACCATACCATCTAGACTCATGTTTTCACAAATAAAAAACTGGTAACTACTAAAATTAGTAAGGATCTGCTTACTATGCTCTTTTGCCCCCGTCATAAAAGACTAGGAGAGGGTAACGTTAAGCTAGAAAAGAACTTAAAAAGTATTAACAATGCTGGGCCCACAAACGTTTTTATATTTAGATGAAGAGATGGGTAGCACACTTTTTTGTTGTTGTTGCTGTTTAGTTTTTAAGACAGAGTCTCCCTATGTAGCCCTGGCTGGGTTGGAATTCATCATGCAGACCAGGCTGACCTCAAACACACAGATCCATTTGCCTCAGCCTCCTCAGAGCCAGGGTTAAATGCATATTCCACCATGCATGGCTTGGGTAATATATTTTTTTGTCTTGTTTTGTTTTCTGAGACAGGGTTTGGTTTCTCTGTATAGCCTTGCCTGTCCTGGAACTCTTTGTAGTCCAGGCTGGCCTCTAACTCAGAGATCTGCCTGTCTCTGCCTCCTGAGTGCTGGGATTAAAGGAGGAGTACACCACCACTGCTGTTACACACATTTTGAGGGCAGGTTAAAGTTTCAGAGATTTCACCTGAATCTGAGATTTAGTTGCACAACAGAACTAGTATGTTAACAGACATGGTGGTATATGCCTGTAATACCAGCATTCAGGAGGCAGAGGAAAGCAGATCTGTAAAAGCTCCAGGCTTTTCTAATTTAAATTAAAAAAAGGAAAAAAAAAACTACTGGGGTGTGGGTGTGGGTGGGTGGGTGGGGTGGGTGGTGGAGAATTCCAGGATAGTCAAGAAAATAAAAATAAAACAATTTGATAGTTCAGTCACATTTTGTTTAGTTTGGAAGATTTAATTATGTGTGCACCTGGAAATAGAGGGTATATATTTGCACATGAGTGCAGGTGTTCAAAGATCTCAGAAGACAGTGTTCGATTACTGGAGTCACAGGCATTATAAGCTGCCTTGACACGGGTGCTAGGAACCAAATTCAGGTCCTCAGCAAGAACACTATAGGTTGGGGCTGAGAACACTGACTGCCCCTCCAGAGGACCTAGGTTCAATTACCAGCACCCACATGGTGACTTAAAGCTGTCTCTAACTCCAGTCCCAGGGGACCTGACACCCTCACCCAGACATACATACAAGCAAAATGCCAATGCACAAATAAACAACATACATTTGGTTTATTTATTTAAAGAACAGTGTAGGCTTTTAACCACTGAATCATTTTCCTAGGCCCTTCCACTCTTATTTGAAGAAACTGATTTAGTTGCTTTATACAGGGTTGGAGGAGATGAGCAGTGCTATGTTGATTGGTTTACCTGTTTTGGGGGGACAGGGTCTGTTTATGTAGTCCTGGCTGTCTTAGAACTTGCGATGCAGACCAGGCTAGCCCTGAACTCATAGAAACCCACTTGCTGTTGTGCCACCACACCTGGAAATATACTGATAAGTCTTAAAACATGAAAAGGGAAAGACTTAGAAAATTGTGTGACCAATAGCAAGTGAATGTCATACACACACACACACACAAATTAGAATTCTATATAGAAGTCAATGCTGGATTCAGCAGGAATGAATTTGTTTCTTAAGTCATTTTCTTCCCAGCAGAGAAAGGGAAGATCAGAAAAAAAAAAAAAAAAAAGACAAGGTAAATAGTAAAACCCAACTCTAGTGAAAAGTCTTTGTTAGTGTGATTCTTCACAACACACACACACACACACACAAGCATGAGCACCATGGATTATGCTTATTATTAAATAAAAGTTGATTGGCTGATAGCTGGGCAGGAAGAGATTGAGTGTAAAAGCCAGAGTCAGAAAGTCACTGGCAAATGCAGAGAAGCAAGATGAGAATGCTATATTGCGAAAAGGTACCAAGCTAAAAGGCTAAACATTGATAAGAGTTATCTAGTAATAAGCCTGAGCTATCAGTTGAGCATTTATAAATAATATAAGTCTCTGTGTGGTAATTTGAGAAGCAGCTGCTGGATACTTGAAACTGGTGGGCGGGAGAGAAACACACACACACACACACACACACACACACACACACACACACACACACACGGAGGTGCTTGTAATCCTTGTGCTTGGGAGACAGATATAGGAGGGGCTTTCTAGCTAGCCCAACTAGGTCAATTGGCAAAGTCTATGGCAATGAAAGAACTTGTATCAAAAACCAAAATGGATAGCACTTAAGAAAAGACACAAGAAGTTGTCCTTTGGCCTACACACACACACACACACACACACACACACACACACACACACACACACACACTATACCAACAAAGTACACCTTTAAAGGAAAGTTGTAATTTTTGTTTTGAGACAGGGTCTCTTTAATTTAGCCTTGGCAGTCTTGGAACTTATTATGCAGACCAGGCTGGTCTCAAACTCACATCAATCCCCTATTTCTGCTTCCAAGTGTTGAGGTCAAAGACTCATGCTACCACAAAAGACACATCTTTTTTTCCCTTCTTTTTTTTTTCAAATTTATTTTTATGTGCATTGGTATTTTGCCTGCATGTATATCTGTGTGAGGATACCATATCACTTAGAACTAGAGTTACAGATAATTGTGAGCTGCCACGTGAGTGCTGGGAATTGAACCTGGGCCAATTCTAGAACAGCAACCAATGCTCTTAACCCCTGAGGCATCTCCCCAGTCCCACAACAAAAGCCATAAATGTTAGTTATTTTATATACACACATTTTGAACTCTCACATCTTAAATGCTGATTAAATATTGTACTTAAAATGTTATTAAGAAAAAGCCTAAGCTGGGCGGTAGTGGCGCATGCCTTTAATCCCAGCACTTGGGAGGCAGAGGCAGGCGGATCTCTGTGAGTTCGAGACCAGCCTGGTCTACAAGAGCTAGTTCCTCTCCAAAGCCAGAGAGAAACCCTGTCTCGAAAAAAACCAAAAAGAAAAAGCCTAACCTTTTTTGTTCATTCTTTTGTTTTTGTTTTGTTTTGAGACAGTTTCTCTGTGTTGTAACAGCCCTGGTTGTTCTGGAACTTGCTTCATAGACTAGGCTGGCCTTAAACTCACAGAGACCTGCCTGCCCGGTCTACTTTCTACTTGCCTCTGCTTCCCAGGTGCTGGGATTAAAGCATGTGCCACCACCACTCCCTGGCAAGAAGTGTTAATTTTAATATTTGTATTTTTAAAGCTGTATCTTGTTAGGCGGCGGTAGCACACGCCTTTAGTCCTAGCAGTTGGAGGCAGAGGCAGGTGGATCTTTGAGTTTGAGGCCAGTCTGGTCTATAGAGTGAGTTCCAGAACAGTCAGGGCTCCACAGAGAAACCCTGTCTCAAAAAACAAACAAACATAAAAAGAAAAACTATTTTTCTGAGACCATTTTTTTTCTGCCAAGCCATCTGTTGTTATTTATAATTTTTGTCTACGTATCTATAGATAACATGCATTTAAGAGCCTTTTTCAGAGAGAAATTACAGTTTATAGCTGTTTTATAGAACATTTATCCCCAACTGCCTCTTCCCTTTTCATTTAATGTTAAAAAAACAAAAACAAAACCCAACAACAAAACAGCACAATAGTAAGCAATTAAAATTTAGGATGGGAGCCAGGCTTTGGTGGCGCACACCTTTAATCCCAGCACTCGGGAGGCAGAGGCAGGCAGATCTCTGTGAGTTCGAGGCCAGGCTGGACCGACAGCCTCCAAAACAGAGAAACCCTGTCTCATAAAACCAAAAAAAAAATTTTAGGATGGAGAGATAGCTGTGCAGTTAAGGGCACTTACTGCTCTTCATTCTTGTTCAGTTCTCAGCGCCCACACGGTGCCTCGAAACCACCCCTAACTCTGGTTTCAAGAGGTCTGGTTCCCTCCTCTGAACTTGGTGGGCACCAGGCATGCATATGGTTTGCATATGTGTAAATGTAGACCCAACACTAATACTCACAAGATAAATTAAAAATAAATAAATAAAACCCACATTTATAATTATGAAAATATTTTCTTCAGGATATGTAAACGAAAGGTATGGTTATAATCACTTGAGCAACTCAAGTGAAAGCTACACCGACATTCGTTAACATGTGTAACAAATACCTCATGTCTTGAATAAGGGAGACCCTGAGTGTTGGTAACATAATTCCTGAGTCAGATTTTCTTCTTTCTGGTCCAAGGGCAACTATGTAGAAAAATATTAGCAAAGTATTAGGAACATAATAGTAAAAATTCAAAAAATTTTTCAACATAGTTCTTTCTGTGTAACCCTGGCTGATCTTGAACTCACAGAGATCCACCTGCCTCTGACTCCCAAATATTGGTATTGAAAGGGTGTATCAATATTTTTGGCCTACTGATACATTTTTTAAATAACCTTTTAAAAATTTCTGAGATTGCTGGGTGGTGGTGGTAGTGCACACCTTTAATCCCAGCACTTGGGAGGCAGAGACAGGAGAGTCTCTGTGAGTTCGAGGCCAGCCTGGTCTACAGTTCCAGGACAGACAATGCTACATACAAAGAAACCCTGTCTCAAAAAATATATATATATAAATAAATCATTTCCCTTTTCCCTTTCCTCCCCCTAAGCCCTCCCATATGTACCCTCCACTCCCCACACCTTGGTTCTTGTTCAGATTCATGGCCTCCTTTTCTTTGTCACTGGATATGTGTATGTATATATATTTCTAAATACATAAACACAACCTGCTCTGTCTGCACACTGTTACTTGTATGGGCTGACCACCTAGTATCCATACATTTATTAATACAGTAAATAGGTGTGTTCTTTGTAAACAAGCTGTGACTATATTTGTAAATTTAAAACAAGTATTTTGTGAAAATACATCTGAAAAATAATGCATTTTATGCAAATTTTGGCCACAAGGGCCAGCCATTTAGCTATTCATTCATTCTCATCATGCTGGATGAGAGGCAATGTTGAGAAATTAAGCTATGTAGTATGTGAGCCATCATTCTTAGATTTATGAAATGGAAACCTATTTATGGCTTTTTGCTGTTTTGAGACAATGTCTCATGTACTCAAGGCTGTCTTCTAACCCTGAATGCTAGGATAACATGTATGTGATTCTATGCCCTGTTCATTTGATTCTGGGGAATGAACCCAGAACATCCTTGGCCCAGAAAAACATTTAATGCTTAAACTTTGGAAGACTTTTTTTTCTTTTCTTTTTGCTGTTTTTTGAGATAAGGTATCTCTGTGTGCTGTTTTGGAACTTCCTAGACCAGGCCTGCCTCTGTCTTCCGAGGGTTAGGTTTAAAAGGGTGTGCCACCATGCCCAGTTGTTTTCTTTTTTTAAATTTTATTATTATTATTATCTTTTTAGTTTTTTTGTTTTTTTGTTTTTTCGAGACAGGGTTTCTTTTTATTGTTTTGGAGGCTGTCCTGGAACTCGCTCTGTAGGGCAGGCTGGCCTCTGCCTCCAGAGTGCTGGGATTAAAGGCTTGCACCACCCACACCTGTAAATTTTATTATTATTTTTATTTAATATAGCTGCTCTGGCTCTTTAGGCTGGTAAATTTCTTCAAGGTTTAGAATCCTAAGTACATTATGCATATCATACAAAGTGAGTATTTAAAATGACTTCCAAAAGTATAAGATACATGAATGGTTTTCTTTTCTTCTTTCGTCTTTTTAATTTTGAGACAGTATCACACTCTGTACTTGGCTGTCCTGGAACTCACTATGTAGACCAGGCTGGCTCAGTTCACACAGATATATTGGCCTCTCAAATGCTAAAATTAAAGGTGTGCACAATCGTGCTCGGTGAGTAATTTTTTAATTAATTAAATGTTATGTTTATTTCGTGTTATTAAAACATTCAAATGCCATGTGCATGTTCGGCGTGTGTTTGGTCCATGGACGCCAGAAGAGGGTATCAAATTCCCAGGCACTGGAGATAAGGATGGCTGAGAATCATCACGTGGATTCTGGAAATCAAATCCAGGTCCTCTAGAAGAGCAACAACTGTTCTTAACCACCGAGCTCTCTCTCCAGTTCCACAACTAACGTTTATAAAAGAAGGAAAATGGCTCTTACAGCAAGCATCGAGCACATAGCCACTGGCTATGAAGTGGAAACATGTTTAGTCTCACTTTTGATGAGATGTGATGGAATTCTGTACCCCTTCTTCATTTCCATTTTCTCGTCTGAAAATGGAAACCAAACTGAAGCACCATCTTTAGCTAATACACTGATGGAACTTAAAACGTGGATTTTACATTATATCATAGCTGTTTTTTCTCAGTTTTTAGATCCACTGACGTTAACAAGCCAGGACATAATACTGGAAGATGCTTGTCTCCTGCCCATGCCACCAAGGAAGGGTCAGTGAAAATCTCAGTGTATTAGATCTTTATGCTTTTGGTGCTTGGTGAAAAAGCTGGACTTGTGTCAAGTAGATATAAATGACCACTTACAGGACTGACAAGGAGGCTCTAGATGCCGGTCAGGAGGCAGATTAGGGAGGGAATTTTTTTCTTTTCTTTTCTTTTTTTTTCCTGAGACAGGGTCTCTCTACATAGCCTGGCTATCATAGAACTCACTATGTAGACCAGGCCGTCCTTGAACTCACAGAGACCCACCTGCTTCTTCCTTCCAAGTGCTGGGATTAAATGGGTGTGTGCCACAACATCTGGCTTAGGGAAGGTAATTTTCAAACTGGCATTTAAAGACTAATCTCTTTGATACTCAGGGAAGTAATGCACAGCACACTGAGGAAACTGTGTTAAGCCACTTGCAGGAAATATACTATGTTTATCTTCCTATTGAGACCATCCTAGCTTAAGTATGTTATTAAAGTGCATTATTCTTTAGGGGTAGAAAGTCAAATGGCTCCGAGAATGACTCCTCATTCCACAGGGCAACATAAAGTACAGCTATACAAATAGTAAGAAATATAGTGGCACACTCCTGTATTCCCAGCATTTGGAAAGTGGAGGCAGCAGGATCAGTTCAAGGTCATCTTTGGCAACAAGAAATTCTAGCTCAACAAACAAAACTGAACAGAATAACAACATCAAAACAAAACCCTGACAAGTGGGAGAAGATTATGAAGCAGAGGAAAAGAGCTGAAACTACAGTCAGCAAGTGGGCTAGAGGGAAACAAGGAGCCGATGAGATGCCCATCATCAACAGGTGGCTTTGAGGTACAGCTCAGCAATACAGTGCTTGTCAGCTACATGTGAGACCTGGGTACAACCCCTCCACCAAAACCAACACACTAAGCAATGAAGACAAAGCCTTTGCAGCTTCCACAATAGGTGTCCAATAGGTAAAGGGGCTGTTAATGTGGACAGGAAATGTGGCCCCCAAACCTGTGTTTATGGCTGGGTTCCTAATACAGTGTTCACATGTGGCATAACATTTGGGAGACAAATGAATCATCTGGACTCTAGCCTAATCAGTAGATGGATTCACTGATGGACTTACGGTCTGATGGCATTGGGAGGTGGCAGAAACTAGGAGGTAGGGCCTACACTGATCAAGTAGGTCACTGAGAGTGTGTGCCCTTTAAGGGTATACTCTGTCCTGGGCCTACATGGATCAAGCAAGTCACTAAGAGCATGTACTGGAATGGTGTACTTTGTTCTAGCTCCACCTCTGCTCCCTGTCAGCCCTGAAGTAGGTGAAGTTACTCTGCCATGCATTTTTAAGTCTAAAACTTTATTTTTTTCAAGACAGGGTTCCTCTGTGTAATGGTCCTGGAACTCAATTTGTAGATTAGGCTGACCTCAAGCTACCGAGATCCGCCTGCCTCTGCTTCCCTTCTACTGAAACAATAAACTCAGATTTCAAGTGCTCTGAGGCTTAGGGCTCGTGAGACGGCTCAGCTTTTTTAGTATGTATCGCTAAGGACTCCAAATTTGGTGCCATTACTCTTGTTGGGCATCGCACAACTACCTGTAGCTATATCTTCAGGAGACTCGATGCCCTCTTCTGGTCTCCAAAGACATTTACACACATACAATCATATAATTAAAAGAATATTTTGAAAGTTATGCTGGAAAAGTGCTGGTGTCTGCCTTTAATCCCAGCACTTGGGGAAGCAGAGGTTATCAGATCTCCGTAAGGTTGAAGACAGCCAGAGCCACATAGTGAGACTCTGTCTAAAAAAGAAAAAAGTTACATGGCTCTCATTAATCTTACTGAGATCACTAACATACTGTTTGCTCTTACATCATTAGCGCTTCATCAATTTGACAGTGCAGCAGAGATTGTAACTGCATAGACCTTGGATGCATTTTCATTTATCTTTCACTTTAGAATTTGCTGGAGGTCACTAAAGACAGTCAGGAGTTTGATTTCTAATTGAACCACTCAACATTTGGCCAGTGAAAACCACAAGAGCTTTGAGTGTTGCCCAACAGCAGCTAGAACATTCTCACATGCCTTTTTGGGGATCAGAGTTGAATACATCTATCTCATTTTCATTGAACTTGGCTTTCCAACATTTCACCCCACAAATACCTTCTTCTTAGGAACTTATTCTCTTTTTAGACAGGGTCTAATACATACACCAGGATGGCCTCCAACTCTTGACCCTCCTGCTCCCATACCTTAAGGGCTGGGGTGACCACTATGCTCCGCTCTGCTTTCTCTAACCACTTACTGGCCTTCTAGTTATGATCAAGTGAATTTAGATAAGCCACCTTGCTTACATGGTTTTCATTCCCAATAGCTACAATTCCTGTTAGATACAGGACATAGACCAATGTACCTTTACTTTCTATAAAGCAAAAATGGAAGAAGAGGTGGGCATTAGAGATCTAAATCTAAATCAGTATAAATACAGTTATGGCAAAGGCATCAGGACACTGACAAGCTCTTGCGAGGAGTTCCAGGGCAATGTAGTATCAAATCCATATTTCTAGTTGTCTTATAAAATATATTAAAAATGAATTTTTTTTATAAGTAAACTCTGTAGGGTAGTGCTGCCTTGGGTAGGGATAGTGAAGGAAAAGGAATTGGGGATGAATACAAGGGTACCCCTTTACTTCCCTTCTTTCATTTGTTTGCTTTGTTTATTTTTCAGTACTGGGGATTGAACTCAGGGTCTCACACTTGCTAGGTGAGGAGTCTTCCACTGAGCTACATCCTCAACTGGCTGTGTTTTACTTCTTAAGTTGGTGGTTAGCTTATGCATTTTTTAAATCACACACACACACACACACACACACACACACACACACACACACACCACACACACACATACACACACCACATACACGTTCTATGGTCTCTAGGTGGAGGTCAAAAGATAATTTTGTGGCATTTTCTCCTACCATATGAACTCTGGGGATCAAACCCAGGTTTTCAGAGTTGGCAGAGGAACTCACTGAGCCATACAACTGACTGAAACAGCTGAGTGTAGTGGCGCATGTCTTTGGTCCAGCATTCTGAAGGCAGAGTCAGGGGGATCTCTGTGAGGTCAAGGCCAGCTTGGTCTACATGGTGAGTTCCAGTTCAGCCAGAGCTACACAGTGAGATCATGTCTCAAATTTTTTTTTAAATTTTTTATTTCTGAAATTTTCAAAGAATTTATTTATTTATTTATTTATTGGTTTTATGAGACAGGGTTTCTCTGTATTGTTTTGGAGGCTGTCAATCCGGCCTCAAACTCACAGAGATCTGCCTGCCTCTGCCTCCTGAGTGCTGGGATTAAAGGCGTGCGCCACCACCGCCCGGCTTCAAAGAATTTATAATTTAAAAAATGGTTCCTAAATGGCTAACTCAGTATAAAATCTTGTCCTACCCTCTTTCAGGTTTTTTGGGATAAGGTCTCATCACATAACTCAGACTGACTTAGAAAGGATAAGCCTCCTTCCTCAGCCTGAGTACTGGGATTATAGCCAAGTGCCACCATTCTATTAACTTCCTACTGTTAATTGTACATTTTATAAAACAGATGGTTATCTTACATAAAGAAAACCAAGCTCTGGGTTGTAGATATGACTCAGTGGCTGATACCGGCATTTGACTATCAGCACTGTCAAGAAAAAACAAACAAGCTCTTTGTGAAAAAAATAATGTAATAGTTGTATTATTTGGTATAAGGGATCCTGTATAATTCTAATTAGCAGGAGAATTATGATACCAATACCATGAGATGCTGCCTATAAGCTGAGGACTCTAACTCCTAAGTTGAGTGTGCTGATACATGCCTGTAGTCCCAGCTACATGTGGAACTAAGGTGGGACTTACACCAAGTTTGAGGCCCGGCCTGAGCATCGAAGTAAGTTACCTATCTCAAAAAGCAGGAAACAAGTTAAGCAAAAACAATCTGACTCTTAAATAGCCTCAGTAATTTTTCCTGAAAGTTTATCTAGAAATACATGGTTCAGGATTTGATCCTGACATTATTTAAAAAAAAAAAAAAAGGAAGTGACACAGAGCAGTGGATAAAGGCACCTACCACCAAACCAAGCAACCAGAGTTAAATTCTCAGTTCCCACAAAGTGGAAGACAATTGATTCCTGCAAGCTGTCATTTAACCTCCATATACAAATGCCCACATTAAAAAAAGTAAGTAAGCTGGGCAGTGGTGGCACACGCCTTTCACTTGGGAGGCAGAGGCAAGCAGATCTCTGTGAGTTCGAGGCCAGGCTGGACCGACAGCCTCCAAAACAATACAGAGAAACCCTGTCTCGTAAAATCAAAAAAAAAAAAAATAAGTAAGGTGTAACAGAAGATATTAAGATTATTGCTGGGTGGTGGCACAAGCTTTTAATCCTAGCACTTGGGAAGAAGAGGTTGGCAGATCTCTGAGTTCAAGGCCAGCCTGATCTACAGAGTGAGCTCCAGGACAGCCAGGGCTACACAGAAACCCTGTTTTGAAAAAACAATTAAAAAAAAAAAAGATTTTAGTGATGGTCACAAAACTTTTCTTTTTTTTCTGAGACAGGGTTTCTCTGTGTAGATTTGGAGCCTGTCCTCGCACTCGTTCTATAGACCAGGCTGGCCTTGAACTCACATAGATCCATCTGTCTCTGCCTCCCAACTGCTGGGATCAAAGGCATGCACCACCACTCACTGCCCGGTACAAAACTTTTCAATAATAATAATAATAATAATAATAATAATAATGAAAAACAACAATAACAACAGTATATACCATACCATACTCTAGTACTGGGAGAATATACCTGTATAGTCCTTCATAATTAATTGTGTTTGTTCTTTTATATCAATATGATCACTCTGGATAGCTACTATCATTTTCTCTGTCTTATAATGAGAAAACAGAAGATCAAGTGAGTTTCCGTAGATTAATATCTTGTAATATTGCTCCTGCTGCTTTATCCTTATTTGTAACATGGGTAAATTTTAGATTGAGACACACCCATCAAAACTGATTCTTCTCATTGCCTCATACTGCCCACTCTATCAAACCAATCTATCTCAAGTTATGTGCGGTGGCCCATGCCTGTAATCCTAGCACATGGGAGGGGAAGACAGGAAGATCAAGAGTACAAGGTTAGCCCAAGGCACATGAGACTTAAAGTAATTTATCTTATCCCAGAGCCTTCTTACCTGGTGAATCTGTGAGATGCTCTTGTTTCTCCTCTCTGTCCTGAAACTGAATTAAATGTGACCACAAGGCAGACTTCCCCTGAAAGCACAAGACACACAAAATGTTCACTTTAAAGAAACATTTATTACAAAATAAATTCTCATCAAGACCACCCTTCTCTGCCTCCCAAGTGCTGAGATTAAAGGTGCATGCCGCCACATCTAGCCCAGATTATGTTTCTTTTGCTGGAACTGAATGGCCTGTGATACGTATCTCTCTCTCTCTCTCTCTCTCTCTCTCTCTCTCTCTCTCTCTCTCTCTCTCTCTCTCTCTCTCTCTCTCTATCTCTATCTCTATCTATCTATCTATATCTGTTTAGGAAAGGTCTCTGTGTAACCCTGGTCTTCTTTCCTTTTTTTAGGACAGGATCTCACTCTATAGATCAGGCTGGCCTCAAACTCACAGAGATCTACCTGCTCTGCTTCCTGAGTGCTAGGATTAAGGTGTGTGTCACCTTGAACAGTCCAGTCCCTTGACATGAGTAAGTCCCTTAATCAGCCATGCCACCAGTGCCTCTTGAGTTAGTTACCTGCTTGACCTGTAAGCCATGGCTCCATATCCTCTCCAGCAGGTCACAGAGGCTAGCAATCAAGGTATTCTCTTCCAAGCCAGTGATGTTGGCTTCTCCATGGCCCAGTTCCACGGCTTCGTGTCCCATCTTCTCTACCAACATGCGTTTTGTCTAAAAACATTATGATCGATCATAAGTTACCACAGCAGGGAAACTCAAAACCAAGGCATCAATTACTAGTTTAGGAGATCTGCTTCCCTTCATTACAATTCTGATTACAGATTTCAGGCACCATGGAGAAAATATCTTAGTCTAGTGGCCAGCTGGTTGGAGTAATATCTTCTATATTTTACTATTATGTCAGAGAATATTAGGGCACTAATGAAACAATAATATTTGCAAGGCATCATAATGTTGAAAAAAAACCACATATAATTGACTTCTGTAACAGTATAATTGTCCTAGAACTTCTGGAATTGCCTTGAATCTTGAAAATGCACCTTCTGACACCAGAACCTCATCCTGTCACTAAGCTGACCTTTACCGACTATAGTATCTCGACAAGCTAAAGCTTTCTGTACTTAAGCTAAAACCACAACAGAAATGAGCAGCTCTACATTTTTCTTTGTTTCTTTCTTTCTTTTTTTTGAGAACTTCCTAGTTTGTGAGTGAACTAGGTTCTCCTCATTTCCCTCTTTTCTCTGTTCTTTGCTCACAAGGATGTATCAGAAAATTAAACCAGTTTCAGGTAAATTAATTCATATCAACCTTAGCTAGTGTTGCACAGGCAAAGTGAGAAAGCTACAGCTCCTCTAGGTAGTACCTTGCCTAATTACATGTATACATTGACACTGAAAACAGTACTTTCATTGAATATGCTCACAAGATACTTATAAAACTGAGGTTTATCATTTATATGGCTACCTCATATAAAGGCAGTTCTGTGAGAGAATTCTATTTAATACTCATTGACCTATACCATAGTTAAGATCCTTTCCCTTGAACATATGTGAATGTGATAACATGTATGAACACAAGCAAGGCTTATATGCTGCTTTTCACATAAGAGAGCAACTTTCTATAACTGATGAATGGTTGGTTTCACATCACACCAAAGAGGAAGACTACAGCTAAAGGTTAGGGAGATGGTTTGTGAGTAAAAGTGCTTATGCACAAGCTTGACCACCCGAGTTCAGATCCTGGGAACCATGTAAAAGGCTGATAAGGTGGCACAAACCTCCAATCTCAATGCTACTATGTAAGATCTGGGATGAAGTTCATGGGCCTGTTATTTCAAACAGCCATAGTAATGACAACAAACAAGAAAGATGCTGCCTCAAAACAAGGTAGATGGTAAGAACTGACTTCATTAAGTTGTCCTCTGACTTCCACATGTGTGCCTACACACACACACACACACACACACACACACACACACACACACACACACCACACAATAGTTAAAAAGATGTGAAAAACTATGCAATGCTCCCAATGTCATTGATGCTGTGAGTCATGGAGGTTCACAACTTCAGTGAAGAGCATTACCAGGTCTATGTTACAAAAAAGTTTCTTTTGAAGCTTGGAGAGGGGGCTCAGGGGTTAACAGCACTGGCTGTTCTTGAAGAGGACCTGGTTTGATTTCCAACACCCTCATGGTAGCTTATAACCATCCCAGAAGATCCGATACCCTCTTTCGGCCTTCATGGGCACTGCCCACATGTATCACACAGACAAGGATACACCCAAAACACCCATACTCATAAGAAGTGAAATAATATAACTCTCTTTTGAGAGAGGCTACAGGCATGAATGGAGTTTACTTACCTCTTCTTAGATCCACACAGGGTATAAATATGAATGCACACTGTCTGCGGCAGTATACATACCTTCATTCTGCATTCTTTTAATAAGCCTTCTACAAATTTCCAGTTGGTCTGTGCAATCACAGCAGGTGAGAGATCTGACAGTTTTGGTTGTCTCATGTTTTTTCCTAAGCTTCGTGCCTCTTGCATGTATTTCTAAAAATCAAGAGTATTTTAAATGTATAAACACCATATATTCTCTTATACTTAAAACTTACATGAACAAATATAACAGGCAGGATGTACAAAAGGTCATAAGTGTATGTGTGTATCAGAAATTAAGATTTTAGTGCTCTTGATAGAAGGCAGAGAACATGTGTACTCTTCCCGAAACCAGCTAACTCTTGTGAAAAAGACAGTGACAGAAACATTAAGTTGAAATAAATTCAAAACCAGGAGTTTCATTGAGTTTAGTCTTTTTAGTGGGGCCACCAATCTTATTAGTTGGGATCCAGACAAGAGCAAAAAAACCCTAAAAAACCAAAAAAAAAAACTAGGTGTCCAGTCTAGTCTAGTCTGAAGTTCCACAGAAATGGAGTGGTTCTCGGGTCACTGGCTTCTTCTGTTCCACTCCTCTCAACAGAGACTTAAGTCTGTCAATCATCTGGGTACGCTCTACAGCCAAATCCTTGGCTGTAACTAACCTTCAATAATACCAGAATCATGTTGTAGCTCATTTTATGAGATCAATTATATCAATGGATGTTTAATGTTGCTACATGTCACTGTATGGTGCATGCTACACAGTTCACAGAAAAGGCTGAAAATCATGATAGGCTCCAGGTAAGGGGGCTGGGACGACTCTACTGAGATGGTCGAATCAAACCTTCCTTTGCAGTAAAAAATGAAAAACAAAACAAAGAAAAAACCCTTCTTTGCCTCACCTGTGATAACATGTGCATACGCTCGTGCACCACACACACACACACAGAGAGAGAGAGAGAGAGAGAGAGAGAGAGAGAGAGAGAGAGAGAGAGAGAGAGAGAGAGAACCCATTCCAATGTTCTTGAACTTTGTTTAGTCATTTCCCATAAAAGCCAAAACCAGCTGGTAGAGAGCTTGTTTATGGTGCACAGGATGTATGATGGATGCTGAGCACTACATACGCCATGTCTGGTGGTGCACATCTATAACCACGGCACTTGGAAGGCGAAGGCAGGACGATCAAGAGTTCCAGGTCATCTGTGTTTACTTAGCAAGTTTGAGGCCAGGCTGGTTTATTCAAGAACAAATCTCAAAAGAGACCCCATACACCTCGTCAGCACAGAACTATGTTCTCTGTGCTTGTACACTGCCTGAAGAACCTCATCTAGAACTTTGCATCAAGATTACAAGGCATAATCTCCAAAAGATTCTGTGTCTTAAGACCACATTTTGAAGAACTGCTCTAAATCATATAGTAAAACTACCATTTTGTTGAGGGAGACTGCATGCTAATGAATTGACACATTCACGGGCACAGGTGTAAATCTATTCTTATTATCTTAAGGAGAGAATTTGGTACTATACAATAAGATGTGTAAATTCCTTTGCACTCTTTAAATGTAAGAGAATCTGTTTCCCCTTTGGAAGAAAACCCACCTGCTCAAGTTGCCACTGATTAACGACCCAGTGATTAGTTTCTCTCAATGTTCCAACAAAAGGTAACATTAACAAGATGATTGGCCTGTTCTCAGTCTAATAATTTTAAAGAGCCACTGAAACAGCAAATGAATTCCCCATGAAACTGTTACTTCAGCGCTTAAATGTATGTTTCTGCTTTAAATATAATTCAAAGGAAAAAAAAGGAAAAATTGAAAATGAGAAAACTATTATCAGTAGGGACATTAAATGTAGCAGTGGGCATAGAAACATAATTTCCTTTCTTTTTTTTTTTTTTTTTGTTTTTTCAAGACAGTTTCTCTGTGTAGCTTTGGATCCTGTCCTGGAACTTGCTGAGAATAGGCTGGCCTAGAACTCACAGAGATCCACCTGCTTCTGCCTCCTGAGCACTGGGATTAAAGGGGTGCCCCACCTGTCAGAAGTTAATTTTCAAGTAAGTAAATAAAAGCAGTTTTAGAAAAAAAACAATCTGAGCTACAAGGCAGCATCTATATTTTCTATTGTTATTTGGGGAAAGAATTTAAAAAGCTAGATATAAAGATGGGTGAAAATAAATTTTTAATGTTGAAAGAGCTTTCCCACTGGGGATATAGCTCAACTGTAGAGTGCTTACCTGGCATATACACAACCCTGGTTTGTTCCCCAGCACCACATAAACACTTAGTGTGGTGGAGTTGGATAGATGCTCAGCGGTGCTGAGTGTGTGCTGATTTTGCAGGGGACTTGAGTTCAGTTTCTAGTACCCACATCAGGTAGCTCAGTTAACTCCAGCTCTAGGACTATTCAATGTTTCTGGCTTCCACAGGGACCTACACTCAAGTGCACACAGCCCCACACACATGAACATAATTTAAAAGAAATATAAAGTTCAGGTGAGGTGGTGTACATCTTTAATTCCAGCATCAGGGAGGCCAAGGTAGGCTGATTTCTGTAAATTGGAGGCCAGCCTGGTCTACACAGGGAGCTTCAGGACAACCACATGTATATAGTGAGACCCTGTTTCATAAGGCCACCACCACCACCACCACAATTAACCATTCTATTATTATTATTAAAAACAAACCAAACTGGGTATAGTGGTGCCGTCTTTAATCCTAGTACTTCAGGAATGGGAAAGGAGGATCAGAAGTTCAAGATCAGCCTTAAATACATGTTAGTTTAGATCAGGCTAGGATACATGGACCCTCTCTCAAATACAAAAGCAGACAGAGGTAACTGATGTTGGAGAGGACCTGAGTATGGTTCCTAGCACCCACTGCAGGCGGTTCATAAGCACCTGTAACTCCAGCTACAAAAGATCCAATGTACTCATGTGGCATTCACATCGACAGACAGACAGACAGACAGACAGACAGACAGACAGTCAAACACACATACATACACACACACACACACACACACACACACACACACACACACACACACACACACACACACACACAGAGCAAAATAAAAAAAGCAGCTGGGTGTGGTGGTACACACCTTTAATCCCAGATCTTGGGAGGCAGAGGCATGCCAAACTCTGTGAGTTCCAGGCTAGCCAGAGTTACATGGTAGATACCCTGTCTCAAAACAGAAACAAAACAAGGACAACAAACCCAAAAACACTCCCCCCAAAACCAAACCAAACCAAACCAATAAGCCACTAGGGAATATATATGAAATTGCAATCTTGTTCAATAAACACTGAATTTGGAAGTAAGTGCTCTTTAATATAGCCTTCCCCACAATTCTGTAATAGATATTCTATCCTTCTAATTGGTGCTAACTCACTGGAAGGGAAGACTACTGTAAATGTAAACTAATAACATAACGAGAAAGTTAGAAGTCAGAGTCTCAGACTATTTGTGTCCTCAGGTGAGCAATAGTTAGAGCAATCTGGTATACATGATTAGTGGGAAGATACTTGAGCCTGGACATTAGGGGTCCTGTGCTACAGGCTCAGCTCTGTTGTGTATGTCCATTTAACTGTGGGCAAATTTATTGCTCGTCAGTTAAAATGTCAAGCTAGACAAGACAACCTCAAAGGTTCCTCTTAGCACTAATATTCTATGGTGATGATTGAGTTTTCTGAAACAAAATGTATGTAGACCAGGAAAGTAATTAAAATGATATGAAGACAAACATCTAGCAAAAGAAAAGCTACTTCAGCATTTGTGAAAAGAAATCCTTAAAATAATAAAGGAGTTACAATACATCTCTCTCCCACTTAAAAGAAAAGCAATTTGTTATGGAGGATCTATACACACGTATACACACACACACACACACACACACACACACACACACACACACATCCCCAATGACTCAGGACTTGAATGTCAGTTTTACTGTCAACAGCCTAGAATTACTTGTGTGTGCACATTCTAGCACAAACAGGCAGCAAACAGAGAGCAAAACATGCTACATGCACTCACAGGTGTGGGTCATTCAAGAAACACCAATAGCAAGATTCAGGAAATCTTGTGCAACACTTAAAAGGCCAAGGACATACCAGGCAGCACTCAGAGAATGACTTTTTAGGAAGCCGTGCAGGAGGAGTTGGGCCCTGATCCCACTCCCAGAACGCCATGGAGTTCTGACAGACCAAAAGTTCCCCGGAAGGCTAAGATGATGACGACGTTTCAATGACAGAAAAGTAGAAAAGGGGGGGAAAAAGAAAGAGAAGCAAAACCTGCATGCACATGATAGGACCACAGCATGGGGAGGGGAGCGAAGGAAAGACAATGAATAAGGGAGGCTTCATTCTGGAACGATGTTTTCTATTGCATTTCTACACGTGTGAGTTTGCAAAACAGTTATCAAGATTTTTGCTTCAATTTTTCTTTTGATCACAAGAAATATAATTATTTAAACATAATTTGAATTTCATTTTCAATGAATACAAATAAAGCATATAGATCTTAATCTAAAAAACAGCTCTGGTACTTCTAAAAAATGACGTCAGCAAGCCAAAGCCAAAGAATGTGTTACTATATCTTTACTTACTTAGCTTAAATTATATTTGAAACTTAGATACATGTATATCTCAATGATTTTCCCTTCAGGAGACCTACTTACCAAAAGTTAACCCTAAATAAAGCTTCTATTAACCTTAATACACAGAAATAAAGCCCTATTTTAGACAAATAAAGGGACAAAACTGGAAAATGTTTTTGCTACATTTTAGCACAAAAATAGTATTTTAAAATATGATTGAAATGTTTTTAAAAGAGCTTGAAAGATCATGTATAGTGACAGCTCCTGGGTTGAGTTATTTTTCTCTGCATCGTGGCATCCCAGGCAGTCTGATCACATACCTCCCGTAAGTCATTGTCCAGTCCAATGTGTTCAGAATGCTGGCGAAGGCGTTCTTTCCGGCGCTGTGCCGTGGCACTTCGACTCACCCAGCGACTGGCAAATAAATAAACGGAGACAATATAGATTAAGAAAATTAGCCAAGTAAGAAGACATGAACTTTACTTTCTTAAAAAGAGAAAGAATGGGCCGGTGTTGGCTGCACACACCTGTAATCCCAGCACTTGTGAGGAAGAGGCAGGAGGATTTCTGAGTTGGAGGCCAGCCTGGTCTACAAAGTGAGTTCCAGGGCAGCCAGGGCTATATAGAGAAACACAATCACAAAAAACCAAAAACCAAAAACACCAACCTCCTCCAAAACAATAACTACAAAAAGCAAAACAAAACAAGGAACCAGCTGTTTTCCTCCCTTCTTCCCTTGTTTCTTCTTCGAACAGGCTTGTGTTCTTTAGTCTGGCCTTGAAATCATAATCCACCACACTCAGTTCTTCCAACCAATTCTTTTCAAAATATATTTAAAGTTATAATTTTATATGCCATTTGATTTGCCCATTCAAAGCATTCAATATAATGGGTTTTGGATATTCACAACCATTTAATACTTTTTAAAAACTGAGGTCAGGGACTGGAGAGGGAGATCAGCAATTAAGATCCCTTGCTGCTCTTCCAGAGAACCTGAGTTTGGTTTCAGCACCCACAGTGGGTGGCTTACAACCGCCTGTAACTAGCTTCCAAAGATCTGATGCCCTCTTTAAGCCTCCGTGGACATCCACAGTGATGCAGAGGCACACAAACATTTTTAAAAAATAAAAAATTGCATGTGCACCAAGGCATGTGTGAATTCCCTCAATAAATGTAATTTTAAAAAGGGAAAATAATGTCATAAAAATAGTTAACACATTTGTTCACAGGGACTGAACAAATTAGGGTTCATCTGAGGACAGAGATACATGTTTATAACTCCACCTCTAAAGACAAGGGGACAGTGTACTGTGGGTCATCCTAAGCTCCTTGGTAAGACTTGGTCTCGATAAACCCCAAACTAAACCAACCAACCAACCAACCAACCAACCAACCAACCAACCAACCAACCAGCCAGCCAGCCAGCCAGCCAGCCAGCCAACCAAAAGTCTGAACTCCTCATCCCAAAACAAATTAGTGTTAATAGGCAGGGTGGTACAAATAAACACTGGTTATATGAAAAAAAAATATGTTCTGTGGGGCAAATATCCTATTTAATTCTGTTTTCAAAACAGGGAAATGAGATTTAAGAAAATCAATGGGGGAGTAGAGTATGGGGTCACGGTGCTGCTAGTATGCTTCTGGGGTGCTGGTGGGGTGGGGTGGTGTGTAGCAGCCTGGAGATTATGTGTGTCCTGCCTCCAGCCCCGAATGCACTGCCCAGCTGTACAATTTCCCTGACTCTTGACGACAACAACAGGACACCCGAGAGGAGTCTCACAATTATTCCAGTATTTATGGTGCTTCAGAAACCTTGAACCAATTCAGTGACTCAATGCATTAAGTATTTGCATGTAAAGCTGTTTGGGCAAAGCAAAATACTGCATGACACATAGCACACTGAAATGCCACTTTAATAAATGAATATGCAGTGGAGAGACAGAAAGATGATGTGAGAAGCAGATTTAGAGACTCAATGGCAGCAACAGGTATGACAGTATGGCCCCATAGCAGACAAAGGAGCATGTTGTTGCCAAGTAGGACTGGTGTTTGGGCCTCTGGGAGGTTCAGGTCAACTACCTGCCCACCTTGCCTCATTGCTGTCTGCTAGGCTGGTGCCACCTGCAGCATGGAATGGTTGCTCACCTTGCTTCATGGAGGAGAGCACAGGGCCATAGTATTCACAGGCTATAAACACGATGCTTGTGCCTGGGGTACCAGTGGGGTGGCTGTTACCAAGGGCAGGGTGATATACAGATGCCTGCGGCTAGCACAGGTCTTGTACCCAGTCATGTTGCCCAACTTCACTATCACCCTGACTCTGAGCAACAAGATATCCAAGATGAAGAATGGTTCATTTTCTGGATTAAGTCTCCTTGAAAGACTTCCATGGTCCACACTGCCAGCGGAGGTAATGTTAATGTCCATGATCTGAGCCACTGCCCTCCTCCCCAAGAAACAAAAACAAAAATACCAAATTTAATTTGTGTTGCCTATATACTCATTGGAGCCTACTCAAATTCCCAGTGGCCAGTCCCTTAAAGAAAACAGTCCTAGCCGGGCATTGGTGGCGCTCACCTTTAATTCTAGCACTCGGGATGCAGAGGTAGGTGGATGTCTGTGAGTTCGAGGCCAGCCTGGTCTACAAGAGCTAGTTCTAGGGCAGCCTCCAAAGCAATATAGAGAAAACAGTCCTTCCCCACCCCTACACCATAAGCCATCAACTGTGAAGAGCTATACTTCAGAATCTTTACTACAATTTAAAGAACTCTCTTCAACAGCTTCCTGTCTGGACTGTCTCTTTTTTTGGGGGGGGGGTTATTGGTGGGAGAGAAGTTGTTTCAATGTCTCCCATTGTCAGTTATGAGGCAATCATCAATACCACTGCAGAAGAAGCTTCCTTGCCCATAGCAGAAGCAACTGTGGAACACACTGAGTGTAGCTTGAGCATATGAGACCTTAAAACCCACCCCTATAGTAACATACTTCCTCTAACAAAGCCACACTTACTCCTACAAGGCCACACCTCCTAATGTTGCCATTCCCTATGGGCCAAGCATTCACGAGTCCATGAGGGCCTTACCTATTCAAACCACCATGGTGCAGACAGGCAGTGCTGGAGAAGGAGTCAAGAGTTCTACATATGAATTGGTAAGCAGCAAGAAGAGAGAGAATAACACTGGGCCTGGCTTGAGCTTCTGAAACCTCAAAGCATACTTCCTGTGACAACTTCCTCTAACACACTTCCAATAATGCCACTTCCTATGAGTCTATCATTTCCATTTTCAACCAAACTGTTATACCCTTTCTTCTAAGAACTCCCTATTTTCCTTCATTGCTTTTTATTATTTTATTTGAGAAAGGTCCTCAGCTGCCTCTAGCCTCATATTTGTTATATAACTCAGCCTGGTGTTGAAGTCCTGCCTCACACTCCTTTGTAGCACAAAGGATTATAATTGTGAACCATCTTTCTTCATATAAATTATCTATACATATTTACTGCTTTGTTTTCTTATGCTTGAAAATGTTTTTTATTGTTTGTTGTTATGTTCATTTCATTGCTAAGTTCTTTTATCTTTCTATGTAGCCCAGACTGGCCTTGAATTTTCCTCAGTTATCCAAATACTAAGATTACAGGTATGTACCACCAAGCTGGATTCACTGTTAAATCTTTAACCAGGATAATCCTTATATATACTAATGGCACAATGAATACTTACCAAATAGATGAAAACCATAATGTTATCAAAAAACTGTCTTATATCAAAGGAATTCAAAGTTAGAATATTTTATAACTAAAAGAAAAGAAAATTTGAGCCCTGGAGATAGATGTAGCTCAGTTGGTAGAGTTCTTATGTAGCATGCACACCTTCAATTTCATCCCCAGTATCACACAAGGCAGATGTTGTACCACACATCTGCAACCTTAGCACTCTAGAAACAGAGGTATGAGAATGAGAGCTGCCCTCAGCTTTAAGGGTACCTGCATCACACCCTGCCCGAGAGGCTTCCGGATCACTGCAGAAGAGGGAATGAAAAGACTGCAGAAGACAGAGGGTGAGGAGAACTGTTGTGAAATTGATTCCCATCCAGGACAGGGCCATTTCACAAATGGCTACGTTTGCCTGCACAAGAGCAAGATGGTCAGAATTTCAGCATGGATGGGGAAAGGTTCATGAAGAACCATTTCTACCTGGAGAGCAATTTACAGTTGACGGCTGCTGGGGGAGGGAGTTGGTTTTCCTCAGGGGCGCGTGGCCTCTGCTAGGCTGCCCATGCTTTAGTAGCTGGCTCTACCCTTTCATATACTGCCAGCACTAATTAGATTTAGTGGGTAAAAGTAAATAATGAGGGGGAGGAGGGAGGGAGGGAGGGAGGGGAAAAAGGGAGGGAGGGAGGCAGAATCAGGAGCACTGGGAGGATTGCTGGAGAGTAAGAAGGGATGAATGTGATCAAAACATATTGTGTATGTGTATAAAATCTCAAAGAACAAATAAAAAAACACATGAAAAAGAAGTTCAGAGCAATCTGAACTCAAAGTCTGAGGCTAGTCCAAGAATACCAGACCATGTCTCCATCAACAAATACCTCAAAGTTACTCTTATTGCTCTCACAGAAGAACTGGATTTGGTTCGTAGCTCCCATAGTGACTCAAAAGCATCTTTTAACTTGGATCTGATGCCCTCTTCTGACTACCACTGGCACCAGGTGTGTATATGGCATACATAACATACATGTAGGCAAAATACTTATACACATAAATCTTTTAAAAAGTGATTACACTGAGCCCATAATCACCAACATTTTTTAGCTACGTTTCAAGTTCAGTGTTTATCTGTTTTGCTTTATGACACAGGGTCACTATATAGTCTACATTATCTTCAAACCTGCTGTGTTGTTCAGGCTGTCCTTAAATTCAAAATTTTCCTAGGTCCCCCTTTCAAGAGTCAGGGTTGCTGGCAAAGTCACCACTCCTGATTAGTATTAAGACAGTGTTTTGCCAGGTGGTGGTAACACACACCTTTAATCCCAGCATTTGGGAGGCAGAGGCAGGTGGATCTCTGTGAGTTCGAGGCCAGCCTGGTTTACTGAGCTAGTTCCAGGACAGCCAGGTGCTACACAAAGAAACCCTGTCTTGAAAAACCAAAAAGATGGGCAGTGGTGGCAAATGCCTTTAATCCCAGCACTTAGGAGACAGAGGCAGGCAGATCTCTGAGTTTGAGGCCAGCCTGGTCTACAAAGCAAGTTCCAGGACAGGCTTCAAAGCTATACAAAGGAACGCTATTTTGAAAAACCAAAATAAAACTACACCACCCCCACCTCCCAACAAAAAAAAGACAGTGTGGACGTCAGGGACCATAGGATAGGGGCTCAGCACAGGGGCAGACCACTTATCTATAAGCACAAAGCCCTGGGTTCAGTCTGTAACACTGTGATGGGATGAAGGACAGAACAAAAACAAAAATAAATAAAAAGAAAGAAAGAAAAAGAAAAGGATGCTGAGGAAGATCATGTATTTGAGGCCAGCCTTGGATTATATACTGAAGTCTAGTTCAGTCTGTTTTAATTATTGAGACTCTGTCAATGCCAGTAACCAAAACACAAATAATATTTTAAAAAAAGAACACAAGAAATGTGTCTATTTATACTTCTGTAAAAAAAATCTTTTTACTTTTTACACAACAGAATTAAGAGTCAAGTGCATACAAGGGATCAATTGAATTTAAAGATACAAATAGGCAAGATATTTAATGTTTACACTGCCTGGGTAACACTGGGGAACATTTACTTTCTTTCATTCAACTCGTCACTCAGGTAAAACGCATGCTTACTTGTTATTGGCTGGTCCTGTTGCCAAGACATCGGACTGTAACTTTGGGAAGAACCCTTGCTCATATTTGCCTTGACCGATTTTCATATCAAGTAGATGTGGGTGAATTGCAGTGTGATCCATTTTCATCAGTCTTTGCTCAATTGACTGGGCTACAAATTAAATTTATAATAAATTAGAGGCATTTTGTTTTTAAAAAATGCTGTATCATATATTCACACACTCACAGAAACCTCAAATCATCCTGACACCCTGAAACAGGTTCTCACACAGGTCTCTGGTAATCAGAAATATGAATGTAGAAAGATTAGATTTAAGTAAATATTGGAAATATTACCGATATACATCCATAGGAAGCATACAGCAATGTAACTTTTAAGTACTTTTATCCCTGGGGAATACTGAATATTCAGAAGTTATCAAATGCCTGCTTTGTGAGGTCAGAGGTTGGGTCTACTGTAAAAAGTTTCAAGGGTTTGTGTCAATATTGATTTGTGGTGATTGGTGAGGAGAAAGAAAATTATATTACTATCAATTTCTGGTTTTTCTGTAATCACAGGCTCTGGAGCCACAGTGTCAACAGTAGGCAGTCTGTGCCTCATGGGTTCAACTGCAAAGAAACAACGGAGCCAGACCTGGTGGTACAGGCTGTAACCCCACCTAGTCAGGAAGTCAAGGAAGGAGAATTGTGGGTTCAAGGCTTTCCTATGGATTATTGAGACTGTCTCAAAACAAAGAAGTATAAAAAATAGTAGTGTGCTTCTCTGTCATGCCAAGGCAAGGCCTTGCATTTAACTCCCAGTACTGAGCGCGCACACGCGCACGCGCACACACACACCCCAAATTAATTTGTGCCAGATGGGAGAGCCATAGACAACAGTCTCCTTTTACTTTTTCAGAATTCAGCCGGGTGGTGGTGGTGCAAGCTTTAATCCCAGCACTGGGGAGGCAGACGCAGGTGGATCTCTGTGAGTTCAAGACCAGGCTGGCCTATAAGAGCAAGAGCTAGTTCTAGGACAGTCTCCAAAGTCACAGAGAAATCCTGTCTTGAGAAGACAAAACAAAACGAAAAAACTAAAAAACAAACAAACAATCTTTTTCAGAATTCCTGGTAACTATGGTCTTAACCTAATCTTAATTTTCAGGCATGCTAAGTCTATAGTGGTACATTTTTTTTTTTTTTTTTGGTTTTTCGAGACAGGGTTTCTCTGTAGCTTTGGAGGCTGTCCTGGAACTCACTTTGTAGACCAGGCTGGCCTCAAACTCACAGAGATCCGCCTGCCTCTGCCTCCCGAGTACTGGGTAGTGGTACATTTTTAAAAGCGCTTCACAGTTTCTGAGATGAGAGTGAGATTATCAGGCTCCAAGGGGAAAAGAGAAAATCGATTTTAATTGGTAAGATTTCCCAGACACAGGTTAAGCTAAGGAACTGGTACTTCACTCCATTTTAAAAAAATCCAAGAAGAAGGGGATGAGATTTTCCCAATGAGGTATTCACATAACTGTTAAAAGTACTGGAAGTCATAATTCTCTCAACAACTTCATTTATTCTATCTCCTCAGCTTCTAGAAACATAGAGGGACTTGCCATTTCCTGAAGGAGCTCCAAGAATCACCCTTTTACGTAGGAATACAACAGTGTGCCTTGAATACTGCATAAAAGTTATTATTTACTACTTCTTTCCTCAAAAAATGCTAAAGCAATGTTATCACTCCCAGTGACTGAGCTGTTTAAATGAAGATGGAAAGAAAGGACTAACCAAGCAACAGAAGCAGAGCAAAGAAGCTACACATCCATGTGTCCTCAAATAAAAAGTATCAACTTGCTCTGTAGACAGGCTAGCCTGGAACTCACAGAGATCCTGCCTCTGCCCCCAAGTGTGGTGATTAAAGACATGTGCCACTACTGCCCAGCAAAAGTGCCACTTTTTATTGAATGGAAAGAAATAAAAGGATATATATTCCTATTAAGCAAAGAATGCGCTGGGAACTAGGCATAAATGTGCAAAACTACACGAAGTGGTATGTTTTACATATTTGTTAATGAATAAAACCACCATTAAAGGATAAGGCATTAGGTATTGGAAATCAGTCACACCTGGATCCAACTTGTGGCCCCACCAACAACTAGTTATAGAACTAGTTATAGAACCACAGCCAAATTCTTAAACCCCTCAGTTTCCTCACCCATAGAATAACAGTAATAAAGCAACAGCAAAAATACCTGTGCATATACATGTAAAAGGGCCTGACAAAATAAACACTGGGATAATAACTGGCACATAAGGAAGACTCAAATGTTGGCTATTAGTAGGGCCACTTATTTAACAGGATGTATTTCACAACCAGACAAGACCAGGAAAATTTGTCATTCTTTGAAGGAAATTGGGTTAGGGGAAACTTTAATTTAAATGGAAAAAAACCCAGAGATTTAATTTCAAGACATGAAACTATATAACTCACTGTACCACAGAGCAATAAGTACTGTTTAAGTTATGTAAACTAGAAAGCATTTACATAACTAAATTTCCTTTTTGTTTTGTTTTTATTTTAGACAAAATCTTGCTGCATTACCCAGGCTGGCCTTAAATGCCTGGTCCTTCTATCTTGGCTTCCTGAGTGCTAGGACTTAGGCATGTACCACCATGTCCAGTTTGGGGTTAACTATTTTAAGTTGATAGCATCAGTAGCAAGACAGAGATTAACCTTTTTTTTTTCTAACAAGAAAATAGCAAAAATCTGTATCTTTTGAATGTTCACAGGAATAGGGATTCAGAGAAATCTGAAGAAAAAAAAGCATAAAAATACTTCTTGATAATACCAGGATTAGTCATGATGTCCCAAAATGAAAGCTAACTTTAGCAGGGCAGTGGTGGTGCACACCTTTAATCCCAGCACTTAGGAGGCAGAGACAGGCAGATCTCTGAGTTTGAGGCCAGCCTGGTCTATAGAGTGAGTTCCAGGATGGCCAGGTCTACATAAAAAAAACCCTGTCTCAAAACACCCCCCACCAAAAAAAAAAAAAAAAAAAGAGAGAGAGAAATTAATTTTGTGCTGTAGAAGTCAACAGTCTATAAAAAGAAATGATCATGGATTTCCCTCCCCCCCAAAGGCATGGCAAATATACCTGCTTCTTTTAAACTGTTGCATTTCTGATATATAGATGTCCGCAGGGTGGGTGTAGGCGCCCTTACATTATACAATCGTATCTTCTCAATCCGAGAGTCAAAGACCCGAAGCAGAGGGTCTTTCTCTTCCCATTGAGACATGATTTTATTATCGATAAAGGTGGCAAACATCTGTGTTTCAATGAAGCGTGAAAGAAACGGCAGGTAAGGCTCAGGCTGGTCCGAGAGGAAAGAGGCCTGCAATGAGATAATTAGCAAATTATTTCTTTAATGAGGTCATCTTAATATTATGTAAGATGAACAAGAACAGTTTGTTAAAGTTATGACTTTTCAAACTTATAACACATACAACTGACGCTTAACATTTAAAGTCTTGTCAATTTATTTTTTTTTCCTTTCCTCTAAGTTTGTAGATTTTTAGGTCACTGAGGAGTTACCTTTTCAAAACTGATTTACATTAGTATCCCGAGGACCACTGTGCAGGAGAGAGGACGTCACTAATGAGTGATGGCGGGTAAGTTGCTATATAATGCACGGCCAGCCATCCACCTCACTAACCATTACATTTTGATTCTTCTTCCCAGTGAGTAATCTCTCTTGTTCTCTGTTCCTAGCCTAGGAAATGAACCTCTAACCAAAAGGCTGAAGATGAGTAACTGTTTATATATCATTCATACATATATATACATATACATATATATATATATGTACACACATGTGTGTGCACAATAGTTTGTATATGTTTATGCAAGAACTTAAAAATAACACGGATTCTGGGTAAAATCTTTTTGGTCTTCAAGCAGATGTTTTTCTAGGTTCACTCTTCTTGTTAACTCAAGATTAAACTCCTTCCATTTAAGTCACAATTATTTGAGACTTAAAAGGGACAGAAAAAACATTGCCTAAAAAAAAATCATACAAGTGGATCTTCAAAAATGTACAAGCTGTCCTTCCCTCTTACTAGTTTGCTTGAAGCAATAAATTATAACTGGCTTCTAATCTGAAGTGTTCACATTTTTTTTTTTTTGTTCTCTTCAGTTCATGTATGATGTATCTAGGAATTCTCATCTTGGTTAAGATGAGCTGAAACTTGTAAGTGAATTCCTAGTCCAGTCACTGGGCTGGTTTTGTTTTTCATTCTTTCACTCTTCAAAGTCAGATGCTGTGTGTCAGAGCCAAATGGAGAAAGATGGAAGGATAATAAAGTTATTATTTTTAATATTTATCAAGTTTCTTCCTAGCATATTTAATTTTTCCATTTTATTATTTCAGGGTACTTTTAATAAGAGCTTCTTTACAGAATCCACTTTTCAGTTTAAGTGCTTCCACAGTTTAAATGTACTTATGTAAGTACAAACATCCAGATTTATAGAAGTTTCCAGAAATCAGTTCATCTCCTTAATGTTACTTCATAGATCAAACATCAAACTTACTTTGTATAGAACAGAAATAGCCCCCACCTTTGAAAATGGGGCAAACATCTAGCTTTTGATGTTTAGATTTTGTGTTCTGTAAGATTTAAATCAACCAGAACTTGACTTTCAAGACGACTATGCCCTGCATGCTTCTTTAGTGAAAAATAAGGTGATTCTAGCCTTCTGGAATCCAACATGTAAATTTCATTTTCTTAGGGGTTATACAGAAAGAATCACTTCTAGTATGAATCTACATAAAGAGTAAAAAAGAACAAGGTACTATGATATGAATTTAAATCAGGATTTGAACTGCCCCAAAGATAGATCGCTTATGTATAAGATCAGTTCTTAAACTGGAGAAAAAGTATAATGAAAAAAACTAAGCAAAAATGAGAACAGATCCCAGAGCAGAAATGTATTTGAAAAGTGATTTCTTAATATTAAAGATGTTTAATCAGCCATAAAGTATACCAGGAAATTGTGATGTGCATAGCATATTATCCTCCATAAGAAAAAATATGATGAAATCAGAAAATAATCTTTGACACTACACAAACATTTAGTAAATACCTATTTTTCAGATGCTCCAAAATTAAACACTTAGCATCTTGGAGTGTAACAGCTCTTCTGGGAGGTCTTTTGTGACACATTCAAAAAGCAACATTATGCTTGTTCACTAACCGAGGCAGAGGACCTAAGGACTTCATGTACATCTCTAGTGCTTCTGTCTGTTGGAGAGAGCTGGGGTACATGAAGAGCATTGGACAGAGCACAGAGAACCTGAGCGGAAAGCCCCAGTGGACAGTGAAGAAAGAGCTGCTAGCCTCTTTTCTAAAACGCCTGGAACATAATCTTATACTAATAGTCGAGAAACCAAATTCACTCATTTGTTCTCTTTTAAGATACAAAAGATATATGAATTAGGCAGAACTGTTACCTTTACACGAACAAATTGGGTGTTACATCATTGGGCGAGGACTAAACTGTCAGTGAGAATTTCTTAGAAAAAGAACAGGCTTAATTTTTCTAGACTTGGTCATAAAACAAGAATAAATAAAACTCTTACAGGTGCAGTAGACTTGTGAACCAAGTGTGTGTGTGTGTGTGTGTGTGTGTGTGTGTGTGTGTGTGTGTGTGTGTGTGTGTGTGGCAATTTAATATACAATTCAAAGGCCAGTTTTTTTGAGACTGGTCTCAGGTGTCCTAGGCTGGTCTCAAACTTACCACCTTGCATTCCTGGCCATTCTGCTTCTACCTCCCAAGGATTTGCTTTCATGTGAAACTATTTATCTAGCATAAAATACTTTATAGGATGTAAAGAGGGAAATAAAAACCTGTGCTTAAAAAGCTAAAACACTAGGGGCTGGAGAGATGGCTCAGCAGTTAAGATCACTGTTTGCTCTTCCAGAGGACCTAGGTTCAATTCCCAGAACCCAAATGGCAACTCACAACTGTCTATAACTCCAAGATCTGAGACCCTCACACAGACATAACATGCAGGCAAAACACCAATACACTAAAAATAAGTAAATTATTTAAAAAGTTAAAAAGACTGAAAAAAAAAAAGACTGGCGATATAGGCCATTAATAATCATAAAGAGGAAAACTATGGTTCTTTTTACTTTGTCAAAGTTCTGCATCTGTTCCCGGTTGGTCAGCCAGGACTCCATGTCCTGGGCAGTCTGAATCACAAAAGCTTCATAATCTGCAAACATCTGTATAAAGCGGCTGGCAAAGACCTCTCGCAGTTGTACATTGAGCTGGTAGTCCCTCAGTTCTGCCTCTTCACACTGTAATTTGAAATCCTTTTCTTTTTCATTCAAAGAAGCTGAGAGGTCAATTTTTTCCACAGTCACACCAGTCCTATCGGCGAGAGCCTGGAGGCGGGCTATGGTTTCATTGCCCTTCATTAACTCATACATGCTGATGTTATTGGTGGGGGTGTTGCCATTCTTCTTGTCATTAACCAAATCTTTCAAAACCATATTCTTCAGTTTGGTGGCACTCTCACTACAATGTAGGCTGCCCTCAGGAGGAATCCCAAACTGGAGAAGAACTTCAGACAGCTCTTGGATAAAATCTACTTTATTGGGGAATTGTGGGAATTCTTCAGGCAATTCAATAAAATGGTTGTCAATATCCACGAAGCACAAATTAGCCTGAAATAGAAAAAAACAAAACAAAACACAAAGGTTTGTGAACTTGTACAAGGTTGACTATTAAAACTTAAATGACTTCGAAGGGCTCCAATTGTAGACAGAGCCAAAGTACCTTGGGCTATTTTTAGTCTCCTAAATAGCATTACTGCCCACATGTGATTGGCCTAACACCTTTATAAGTTAGGAATTTACCAAAGAGACCCTTTAGCTTCCACCAACCTAAGGTTAAGAGTTGCTGCAGGAATATTTGCACACTGTGAAGATGTGTCTTTGCCAAGGCACGTTCTGATTGGTTTATTAAAGAGCAGAATAGCCAACACCTGGGAAGAAGAGGCTAGGAAGGATTTCCAGGGAATCTAGCTAGGCACATGGATTCCACCAGAGACTCTGCAGAAGTTGGGCACATGGTACAGAGCAGAGGTAACCGAACCATGTGGCAGAAGGTAGACTAATAGGGACAGGTTAATTTATGCTACATTTATACTTTGGTCATATTTGCCTTTCATTTTATCGAGTTACTATCTTCATTATCTTCCCCATCTCTAACTCCATTTCCCTTTTCATCACCTAAATACTGCCCCTCCTTCATGTTGGTAGCTAACAGGATGTTATCAGGCATGGAGATCATTTAAATAGATCCTCCTTCCATAACTAGGTCTAGATGTTATCTCCTATATCCCTGGTAATGCACCAATCTTAAGATCCAAAACAGCAGGCTCACCACCACACAGAACAACAACAGGATAACCAAGAGGAACTCCACTGAGTGCCCATTATAGATGTCACAGTGGAAGTCAGAGACCTTGAGCCAGACCAATGACTCGTGGCAGTGAACACTTGCAAGTAAAGATAAACAGACTATGAGTTCCAGGGCAGCCTCAGTTCCTGCCCATCTCCACACAGAAGCCTCCCACAGCCTCATCTGTTTGCTCAGAAGGCCCAGAGGGGCCTTACTATCAACAAAATACAAACAAACGCAAGCCCATGAAAATCCACTGAAGAAAACCCAAAATCCCTTCCTCTAAAACAAACAAGGATGTAACACAGAAGGAATTCTGGTAAATGTTTCCTCTTTGATGCCATTACAGTTAAAAAAAGAAAAAGAAAAAGAGAAATCTGCCCTAAAAGCCCAGGAAGTATTGTACACACGATAAAAAAAATATACTTAACAACTCAATCTAACAGTTTGAGTACTATATTTCTGATTAACCTTGCCTACACGTTTTCATGACATTACCTCTAATTAAAAGCAATGCAGATGCCAGACACGGTGTCACACACCTTTAACCCCAGCACTCAAGACAAGCAGATCTCTGAGTTTGGGATCAACTTGTTCTATGTACTGAGTTCCAGGTTGGTCAGTTACTCAGTGAGACCCTGTCTGACCCTAAAACAAAAATAAAATAAGGTAAAGCTCAACAAAAACAAAGTAGCAAAAAAGAGTCTGCTCTAGCGTTTTTTTTTATTTTTCTCTTTCTTTTTTTAATATACAATTTATTTTTATTTTATAAACATTGGTGTTTTTCCTGCATGTATATTTGTGTGAGGGTATAAAAACTCTGGAACTGGAGCTAGACAGGTGTGCGCTGCCATATGAGTGCAGGGAATTGAACCTGGGTCCCCTAGAAGAGCTCTTAACTGCTGAGCCATCTCTCCAGCCTCTGATTTTTTTTTTCCTAACAGTAAAGATGAGCAAGAACAGCTGAGGGTGAGGTACCAGACTCCGTCACCAATGCTTAGTGCTGCATTCTTCCACCCTCCCCTTCCCCATATACTCCCCAAAAGACAATGTAACAAATGGCTACTAACACCTATCATTTTGAAGTCATGAGCAAAGGGAGTGGGTGGTTAATTATAAGCCTAGAAAGTTATATTAGCTACCTAACAACTAAAATAATACTCACCTAAAATAATAATTTTGTAAGTGACATTTTTATAACTATTTTTAGAAACTTTCTTGCTAGTTTTAGTCATTTTATTTCAGAATTTTCAGGGGGAAGAAAGAAGCCTCACTAGTATACACATTTAAGTCTCTTTAAAAAGACTATTTTATGCCGGGCGGTGGTGGCACACACCTTTAATCCCAGCACTCGGGAGGCAGAGGCAGGCGGATCTCTTTGAGTTTGAGGCCGGGCTGGACCGACAGCCTCCAAAACAATACAGAGAAACCCTGTCTCGTAAAACCAAAAAAAGAGACTATTTTATTATTTATTTATTTTTTATTATTTATCTACTTTGGTTTCCTGAGACAGAGTTTCTCTGTGTAATAGCCCTGGCTGCCCTGGAGCTCGATTTGTAGACCAGGCAGGTCTTGAACTCAAAGAGATTTGTCTACCTCTGCCTCCCCCAAGTGCTGGGATTAAAGGTGTGCACCACCACACATGGTGAATGATGCTCTTAATGTATGGCTTCTACATAGAAACACTGCTTACTTTTACAGTTGATTCATGTGATTCCATATTACTCCATTATATGAATAGATGAGTTTGTGTATTTATTAAACAATGTTGAGCTCATAATGGGGAAAAAACTTTTAGTTGTAAAAGTCACAGACATTTGAGGACTTTTAAAATTTTTAACTGGCTTATCTCCAGAATCAAATGATACAGCAGACAGAGAAAGGTCTTCCAATTGTATGTAGACTAAATGGTCTTAAAATATTTTAACAAGTATTCATAGAAGCCAGAAAGAACTTAGATATGTAAATACATTTTCTTACATCATTTGACAATTAATATTATATAATCAATAAGAACCTAAAACAATATTAAGTCTTTAAAACAAAACAAAACAATCCATTTGGCTCATCTATTTCTTATCCTTTGAAAATGTAAAGTGTTTAATTCTTGCTAGGAGGTGGCACACGCCTTTAATCCCAGAACTTGGGAGGCAGAGACAGGTGGATTTCTGTGAGTTCCAGGTCAGCCTGCTCTACAGAGTGATTTCCAGGGCAGCCAGGGATACACACAAAAAAAACCCTGTCTTTGGAAAAAAAATTTTTAATTCTTTTAAACCAACAAGATACATTAACATAACTAAGAAGAAAACAAGAAAATTCAGAGAATAGAGAACGAAGATAAATTAGGGAAGAAAGAGCAATGCCCCCACAACAGACCTCATTCAAGCAATTTCTCCTGTGGTGGTTTGAATAGGTACGGCTCTCATAGAGTCATGTGTTTGAATGTTTGGCCCATAGGGAGTGGCACCATTAGGAGGTGTGGCCTTGTTGGAGTAGGTGTGGCCTTGTTGGAGAAGGTGTGTCACTGTGGAGGAGGGCTTTGAGGTCTTACAGGCTTGAGCTGAGCCTCATGACTCAGTCTTCACTTGTGCCTATGGATTGTAAAACTCTCAGCTCTGCTCTAGCACCTCATCTGCCTGCATGCTGGCATGTCCTACCATGACGATAATGGACTAAAGCTCTGAAACTGCAAGCCAGCCCCAATTAAATATTTTCCTTTATAAGAGCTGCAGTGGTCATGGTGTCTCTTCACTTGAATGACACATTGAATTTTGGCAAGGCAACATGGATGACTGATTACGGGACTTGCTATTCAGTGTGGCTTAATGTGTTATTCTATATCCTCCTCCTCCTCCTCCTCCTCCTCCTCTTCTTTTTTGGTTTTTTACGATAGCAAGACAGTGTTTCTCTGTGTAGACTAGGCTGGCCTTGAACTCACAGAGATTCATCTGCCCCTGCCTCCCGAGTGCTGGGGAAAGGTATGTACTGTCACTGGTTGGCCCTTATTTTCACTTCTTAAAATGAGAATTCTTAGAAGAAATAAGAACAAGTTAAAGTGAAGCTCAGTAAGAGAGATTTTATTAAGAAAGGTGATAACTAAATAGCTAATGTCATTAACCACTGTGTATTTTAAGTAGGCCACATCATCCTCATCAATATTGCATTTCAAAGCTTTCCATTCCAATTTTGAGCAGCATTAGCGAGAGCTAAAAATTAAATTTAAAATGACATCAAGAGCTCTTGATTATTTTATTAATAAATATTTGAAAGTAAGATTAAAGTGCCAAGAAGCTAGGGGTTAACGTTTTTGTCTCACAGACCAGGCCAAGCTAATAGAGGAGAGGCTACTAACTGGCTACGGCTAAAGATGGCAAGCAGTAAAGCACTTGCTGTTTCCACTATCTCGCTTGCTGAGGGATACCACTTTCCATTCAATGGAGGTGAAAAGTAAAATTTAAGTCTTTTAATAAAAATGACTATATCCTGCTTATGACACCTGCTTATGACGCCTGTCAACACCTGGAATTAACTAAAACCCCCCCAAATGGAGGGGCATGCCTGTGAGGGCTTTATGCTTAATTTGAAGTGGGAAGATCCACTTACAATCCAAACCTTTTGAGGTGGGAAGACCCACCTCTTGTTACCATAACTCTTCCCACCAGCCTGATCTCAATGTCATGTCAACCCCAAATAACACACGAGACACTATATTAATTATGAAGCTGTTGACCGTTTGCTAAGGTTTCTTATTGGCTAGCTCTGACTTAATTATTAACCCATAACTACTAATCTATGTACTTTTACAAGGTCTTATCTTTCTGAGGACGCCAGCCTCATGCATCCTCTCTTCCAGGGATCACAAGGCAACTCCTACTCTTTACTATATTTCCCAGAATAATCCTCGACTCCTAGTTCCACCTATCTTGCTTCCCTATTGGCCAACAGTGCTTTATTTATCAATCAGACAAACATATACAAGGACTTCCCCCATCATCCTCTAATCTGGGCCATGCCTTCTGCTGGAAGCCCACATAAGGACATGGGGGAAGGAAGCCACTTTCTTTGCCTTTGTGCTTTCATCCTGATAGCAAGTCCATTCCTTCACTGGCATTAGAGCCTATACATATATATATATATGCATACACGTATTCACCCTATGTATGAATTCTGTTACTCTAGAGTACTCTGAATAATACACCAATTAAAAACAAAATTTATAGCATGAGGATGGAAAAAAGTTTAATGCTTTTAGAATAATAAAACAGAAATATCAAACTATTATTGAACCACCTTCAGAAATGTATAGTTGTGAAAATTTGTTATTGTCCTTCTTTGACATGTAGTTGTGTTATATCAAGTAACAGAAGAAACAGTTTGCAGGCTTGGGCTCAGGCCCTAACCAACAGTATGTGGTAGATTCAGATGTAACTACTGCCCAAAGACAATGCTACTTAGTAACAGCCATGACCTAAGTCAATAAATAGCAGGCTTCATCATTAATGACTAGCCTTACCTCTTGTGGAAGTTCTAATTTAGACCGGTCAGTTCCTTCTTTTGATTGAAGACCCATCAGATAAGGGACAGGGGCATCAAGGAAATGCAGCAGAGAGGCAGGGAGGATGGGTACATATACATGCTGCCACTGAAATGGGAACAAGAGTGTGGTAATGCCTTCTGCCACGGTCATCAGGCGCTGATAATCTGTTCAGAACAAGAAAAATAAAAGGGAAGAATCCAAGTGAAAACAAGTGCTGCAGCAAGACTAAAACATCAGAAAAAAATACTGTCAAATATTTTTGGACTGGAAAGATGGCTCAGTGGTTTAGAGAACTTACTGCTCTCACAGAGGACCTGGGTTCGATGCCTAGCACCCATATGATGCCCAACAAACATCAGTAGCTCCAGCTCCAGAGAATCTGACCCCCTCTGAGGTTACCAGGTGCATGAGTGCACACATACCCATGCATACAAATAGTAATACACATAAGTAAATATTTATTTTAAGACAGTGTTTCTTTGCAGATTTAGAGCTTGCCCTGCAACTCGCTCTGTAGACCAGGCTAACCTTGAGATCCACCTGCCTCTGCTGGAACTAAAGGTGTGCATCACCACTGCCCAGCAAATAAATCTCTAAAAAAATTGAAAAGTATTTTTTCATGACCATGGAGAAAGTAGGTTGGTTCTAGCTTATTATAATTAGAGAGTTAAATTAATTCACCTGAATAGCTTGCACAAAGAAACAGCATCAGCACTTTTCCTGAAAGCAGTCGTGAGTAATTCGTGTCCTCTCTCTCTCCTCCCCACCTGCCTCTCTCTCCAGCGTCTTCCTAAGCAGACCAGATTCTGAGAGATCAGCTTGTCTCTGCTCTGTATTTCCAGTGCTGGGATCAAAGGCATGTGCCATTATACACATGCAGCCCTGCATGTTCTTAAAATGTGGAGGAATCAAAACTAATAAACTGTTCTTGCTACCTAGCCTTTTGAAAAAGTTTGAGATTGTTGCTATGAATCACTTTCATATACGTATACACTTACACAATCTCCAATTCAGAGGCTAATTTTTCTTTTCTTGTATAGATGATCACGGCTACAGCTTTGATAATCTGATTATTTTAGCACTTATATTGTAAGTATAAAAAAGTCAGAGCTGGCCAGGCGTTGGTGGTGCACACCTTTAATCCCAGCTCTTGAGAGGTAGAGGCAGATGAATCTCAGTGAGTTCAAGGCCAGCCTGGTCTAGAAGTCTACAGGTGTACAGAGCAAGTTCCGGGACAGCTAGGGCTGTTACATAGAAAAACCCTGTCTCAAACCAAAACCAAACAAACAAAAAAACAAAACAATAACAACAAAACCAAAAAGAAAACAAAAAACAAACAGACACAAACAATCATAGTCATCCTTTCTATATTTAACTCCTAACTACATATTACATCTAAGGACAAAAATAATTACCTTGTAATTAAAGGATTTTTGTTTGCTTGCCTTGTTTTTTTTTCCAGTCAGGTTTCTCTATGTATCGCTAGCTACATGGGAACTCACTCTGTAGACCTCACAGAGATCTCTCTACCTGACTCCCAAGTGCTGGGATTAGAGGTATGTGCCACCATGCCCACCTCTGATTGTCTTTTCTTTACATGAAGTAATTTATCAAAACTAGCAATTGTCCACAATATTATGGGTGCCCTCTTCACATCTAAGGTGTCTGCCTTAGATATTTTACATTTACACATGTTCAAAATCCTTACTTAAATCCTCAGAGGCAGACAGATATGTTTAAGAATTAGATTTCTTTTTTAAACTTTGAAAGGTGATAACATGCTTAGATCATCATCTATGACAGGGATGCAGCTTATAGATAATATTTTCAGAGCAAACCATGGGAGCATTTTATAGGACAGAGAGAAAATATAAATAAGCTTATTTTGGTTCTGATCTGGTTTTTCTGACATATCAGTTACAAAAAGAATCATTTTCAGAACTGTTTTAGATTTGAGAACTGAAGATAAGGGATTGTAGACTTTCACAGAATTTCACAGAATTCAGTGTACACGGTTACATTAAAACTGGGGAACTGCTTCAGTACCCATCTTTTGTAAAAGGTTAAGGAAAATGATCAGATGTTACTAGTATGCAACAGAGACCCTGGTTCTCTGTGTGTGTGTATTTTGTGGATCACATAATAACATTGTTATTCTTTTGGGGTTGCTTCAGTCCTACAGAAAAGCATGACGTAGATGTGAGGACCGCATTGGTCCACAGAAACAGGGCTATCAGTTCTAAGAATCAGTGTCTGTTTTATTTCTTCCATCATATGCCATATAATGTGGAAGGCTACCTAGGAGCTTTAAGCAAATTATGTGCCAATTATTCATTAAATGCCTCTCAGTTCCAAATCCACCTAGTCATTTGGCCTCTAACCATTTTGACAATGAATACAATACTAAGCTTTGCCAATAGAGGGCCATGGAGACAGTTTCCTGGTGCCAGTATGCAATTTGTCTTGTTCTTGCTGCCTGGAGGACCAGCAGCATGGGTGTGTGGCACACTGCTATGCCACATGCCAAGACTGAGCAGTCAGTGGATAACTCCTCGTGGTCCTCCACCACCCTGCATACTCAGACCTCATACCACAGTGATATCCAACAAGCCCTGTGGGTCTGTTTTCCAGGCACAGACAACATGGGCTTTGGACTTTGTCTTCTGTTAGATCAGTGGCCAAGGATCAGCTCTGGTCCAAGAAACATACTGACAAGTATGGCCTTCTCCATACCTTATGAACAGAATTTCTTCAAAAGGAATCCACTACAGCTTTGGGGTCTGGGTTCACACTTAAATGTTTGTGCTTCATTGAGTGACCTTCAGAATTTATCTTTACAGCTTATTTTCCAAAATAATTTATATTACATTCCTCAGTCTAAATTACTTTATGGTTTCTGTCTCCCAGTTGAACCTAAACTGAAAAGAAAAGGGATTTGAACAAACTAAACTCCTAGCAAGGTGGCTAGTTAATCTGTGATTGGAGAAATATGCAGTATCCTGGAAAATATACTTTCTTCAAGTAATGATAGTTTGTACAGTGGGTTAACTTCTTGCTTTATTTATAGAAAAAAAATCATGGGAAGTAAGAATATACTACATGTTTTTCTCTATTCTGGACTTTAAGAGACGCTGTTCATTTTTCCTTTACTACCATTTTCCCACTTGGAAATGTTCTATGTCTAATCTTTTTAGGTTTGGATTCTCTACAAGACTGGTTGATAGGTCACACACTTTTAGCAATGAGATTGCTTGGCAGAGATAGGTCGAACCCTTTTTAACTCAGTCAAGAATCACCAGCAGGAGCTGGTAATAAAGGTGTGGAAGGATGCTTGTCCAGCATGTATTCAATCACCAGCACAGCAAAAAAGAAATCAAAATGTTTCTCTAAGCATTGTTTGCATGTGTTTATATACGTGCATGCCAGAGGTTGATGTAATACATCTTTCTTAATTGCTTTCCACCTTATTTTATGAGAGGGTCTCTCATCAGAATTCACCAGTTTGTCTACACTACCTGGCCCCTGACCTCCACAGACTGGTTTTCACTACTCCTCTCCTCAGAGCTCAAGCTGCAGGTGTGCACCACTGCAGCTGCCTTTACATAAGTGGTACTCAGGTACTCATGCTTGCCTGGCAAGCACTGACTGACCATCTTCTCATCCAGCATTGTCTTAGTGTTCAATTCCAAAGCCCTCAAACCCCGATGTGGTGATATCTGCTTATGACTTAACAAAGTTTGCCTAAAGCTCAGAGTGCAGAGCCAGCCACACTAGCTAGCCACAGAGGTCAGGCAGTGGTGGCACACACCTTTAATTCCAGCCCTCAGAAGACAGAGGCAAGGCCACCCTGGGCTACCTTAGATTGAATCTGTCTCACACAAAGGTGATCCCAGCACTTGGAGTGACATGCCTTGAATCCCAGTACTAAGGAAATGGAGACAGAAGCTGGACAGAGAAAGGAATATAAGGCCGGAGGAAACGAGAGAGACCACAGTCTGAGGAGCCCAGCGCAGTCTAAGCAGTTTGAAGATGCAGTCTGAGGAAAGGATCACCCCTTTGGTTGGAGCACTGGTAGAGGCTCAGGGGTTAAGAGCACTGGGTGCTCTTCCAGAGGTACTGAGTTCAATTCCCATCAACCACATGGTAGCTTACAACTCTCTATAATGAGATCTGGTGCCCTCTTCTGGCCTGCAGGCATACATGCAGGCAGAACACGATATATGTAATAAATAAATACATCTTGGAAAAAAAAAAAGAACTTTCTAGTGTGGCCAATTTGTTTCTCTGATCTTCAGCGTTAACGCCAATATGGAACTCCAGGTTTCTATTATTAAAACCAATTAGAACTCAATTGACACCCCCCCCCCCCCAGTAACACACTTCCTCCAACAAGGTCACACCTACCCCAAGAAGGCCATACTGCCTAAACCTTTCAAACAGCAAAGGAGCCATTCTTATGCAAACTACCTCAAGTTGGCCTCAATTCACAGATATCTGCCTGTCTCCGCCAGCTAGATAGCCAGCCAATGCTGGGATTAAAGGCTTCTACTACCACACAAAGTTGACCACTATTTTTCTAATCTCAGAATTTTCAGAATAAAATCCAGGGTCTGCTACATTGTAATTTGCCAATAAATGTATTGGGAAATTAATATTTTAACATCTAAGGAATGTAAAATGAAATACAACTTTGAATATTGATAAATTTATGCTTGGCTGTTACATAATAAAACATACTCTCAAAATTTGCCTAGAATATCCACCAGGCTCCAGTGGGTATGCCCAGGGACAAGCAGATGGCCCAACTTAAACTTGGTGAGTCACAAAACAAAACAAAAATACATGCACATGGGAAAGGGACTTGTAGGGAGGAAGGCGGTTGTTGGAGGTGGGAAGGGAGATAAGAGAGGGTGGGAAAGATGAGTTACCAGAATGCATTACAGAATCAATGAGATGCAGCTCAGATGTGTAAGAGTGCTTGCTGTACATGACTAACGACCTGAGTTCAATTCCTACGGCCAGTAGAAAGAGACAGTTGACTTCTAAAAACTGTCCTCTTACCTCTACACTTACACTGTGTCATATACATTTCCTCTAATGATAAACAAAAAAAATCTGAAAAACTATGTATTATATACATGTACAAAACCATCAAAAAAAGGTT